AAAGGCAAAGGCCTCTAGATTACACTTGTTTTACCAAAATAAAATATGATCATGCCTTGATTCTTAATTATTTAATTAGGATAGTAAGCTCTGACTTTGCTTAGACAAGTCTTGTCACTTAACAGAAATAATTTCCAGTGTAGAACATAAAGTCATGCTGCAGTGGAAAAGAGTTTTGTGTCTGACTACATCATGAGCTTGGAGGACTGCATCCATACATCTCTGCAATGACTCAAATCACTGATTAATAAAGTCATCTGGAATGCCAAAGAAAGCGTTCCTGCAGGACTCCCAGAGTTCATCAAGGTTCTTTGGATTTATCTTCAATTCCTCCTCCTCCATCTTATACCAGACATGCTTAATAATGTTCATGTCTGGTGACTGGGCTGGCCAATCCTGGAGCACCTTGACCTTCTTTGCTTTGATGTGGAGGCTGAAGTATGAGAAGGAACGCTATCTTGCCTCTCCTGTGGTTTGTAATGTAATGGGCAGCACAAATGTCTCGCATGCCCCAATACTGAATGTAACCGCTAACCATGGTTTTTCCTTCACCAAACTTGACACATTTCTGTGAGAATCTTGGGTCCATGCAGGTTCCAGTAGGTCTTCTGCAGTATTCGTGATGATTGGGATGCAACAGATGATTCATCAGAAAAATCTACCTTCTGCCACTTTTCCAAATGATCAACTAGAAGTCAAGTTATTATTTGCTGCTCTTACAACTGGGATCGACAACAAGACTTTTGTAAGGTAGTGTATGTATATATTAATGTGCACCTTTTGTAAAGCTGCTGTGAAACAATAATTCTTGTAAGCAGCGCTGTACAAATAATCTTGAATTGATTCAAATTATCCTGTAAGAGTGAGTTTCCAGTTAATGATTCAGTGATTCAAACCACCCAGAGCAAGTGTTCAGTTTAACGATCCACCATTTTAGAGTGAGTCTCCAGTTAAAAGTGTGTCAAGAATGCAAGGTCCACATACAGTAGCTTGAAAAGAGAAAATCTCAGATTTACCAACTTTTATCCACCAATTAGACATGTAATGTAGACTTTAAATTTGTTGTTGGCAAGTATTGGATCAGAGATTCAGAAATCAGCAGAGACAAACATGTTGCACACATCATGACTGCATTTATTTATAATCATTCCAGCAGTACAGATGAGCAGTATAAAACTTTCAGGCCTGTTTTAAAGGGCAGAGAGGATTGACCTGCAATACCTCACAATGTACAAAGTCTTGAGCACCTCTATAATGCTTCATGAGCACAGAGCACCGTCAGTCTACAGCACCACAAAGCTCCCGTGAGCCTCTGCAATACACTATTCACTCCGTCTGATCCATATTCTCAAATAACTGTGACTGAAATACACTAACTAGAAAAACCTATGACAAACAGTGCAGATTACCAAAACTCAATCGTACGTCCCATGTAGCGATTCAGAAAACAGTCTATTTATACTTTTGATTTGTTTAGTAGTAAATAAAAAAATCGAATTATATTGATAGTTGAAACTACATTAGACCACATATTCTGTGAATACATTGAAATTTTTATGAAATGTAATGTGCCTTGGATCTCTTTTAAACCTGAAATAATTATATTTATTCCATTTTAAAATTAAAATACCACTATAATAACTAACACAAAAAAGGCTGCTTATTTAAAAAACAACAACAACATGGTCTCATTCTGAAAACGTAGCCCTATATATATTTCTGGAGAATGCGAATTATGTAGCTAGAAGTACCCGTGGCTGCATTTCATTTTTAAAAGAAACGCTACAGGCGGTGTGACGCCGTTCCTTTTCACGCTAACAAGCTGACTACTTACTGTATGGATGGCTTTTCCACTTTTACCAGTTGAAGTATGACTTCACACGCAGAGAGGAGTTGACCACAATGATGGGGTTCGAATCCGGTGAAGAACAGTTGTAGAAAGCAGGTAAAACAAAAGCCAAAATAAAAATAAACTTGTAAATAACGGTGAAAATGTGGTAAAATCTGAAAATGTGGTAAAATCAGATGAAGGTTTTTCATTTTTTGGATTGCTTTTAAAAACACTGACGGTTGGGTTTATGAAAAGTAGATGGGCACTGGTCAATCGGTGCTTTTAAAAAAACTATTGACTGGGTTTAGGGAAGGAGGAGGGTGGGTCAATCAATTAGTCAGTCAGTCAGTGGACTGCGGCATCTGGTGGGTTTACGGGAGAACAACAGGCAGGAATGACACTTGCGAGAGAAATTTGACAAAGTCAGAAAAATCTGAAAAAGTGTACACGGTGACCTCTGGTGGATTCGTGAAAACAAAAATGGCAAAAAAACTAGCTACAGGGATGTATTTGGTGCTCTCCAAAAATGTATATAGGGGTACATTTTCAGAATGAGCCTGGGTTGAAGTTTTGTTTTAAAGTGATAGCTGAAACAAAAATTCAAATTTGCTATTAATTTATGCACTCTCAGGCCATACACTATATTGATTTTTGTTATGTGCTACAATACTGAAAGAATATTAGCTGAAATTGTGATCACACTTTTCAATAAGTTTCCATTAGTTAATGTTATTTAAAGGGGACGTATTATCCCCATTTTTACAAGACGTAAAATAAGTCTCTTATGTCCTGTATGTGAAGTTTCAGCTCAAAATACCACACAAAAATGATTTATAACTCTTTAAAACTGCCCCTGTTAGACTTTTATCCAAATAGTCTGACATACTCGTGTAAAATCTAATGGTAGATGGCTGCTGCTCACCCAGGGCTGTTTATGCTAATGAGGGAGAGGTCGTCACTAATGGGCGGGGCTTTACCCTTCTCTTGACACGTACAAAGGGAGAATGTTAAATAAAGTGTTTCTGCAGACTGTCTTTATCAAGTGTGATTATAAAAACAGAACAAATTCCTTTTTCTAATAGAAGCTGGTTATATTTACACACTATTGCCACACAACTGTTTAAACCCCTTATAAAAGGGATTTTTTCATAATAGGTCCCCTTTAATGTATTTACTAGCATGAACTAAGAAGGAACAATCTCGTACAGCATTTATAAATCTTAGTTCAACATTTACTGTTGCATTATTAAAGTCCAAAAGCTTGTTAACATTAGTTAACATGAACTAACAATAAACAACTGTATTTTCATTAACTAATGTTAACGAAGATGAATAAATGCCATAATAAATGTATTTATCATTGTTTATTCATGTTAGTAAATATATTAACTAAAGTTAAAGTGCTTCAAATATGAATGTCTGTGACTCCTAGGGATACACTGAGGTCTTATAAAGTGAAATAATCAGTCCTGAGAGTGTTTTTGCTATCATTAAAGTGAAACAATGACAAAACAGCAATAAAGGTATTATATGATAACTGTGACTGCTTGGTGAAAAAATGTGGACATGGTTTTCCTTCAGCTTAGTCTCTGATTTATCAGAGGTCGCCACAATGGAATGAATAAAAACAAAGTCTTAAATTCTCAAGTTATATTCAGATGTTAGTGATGTTACTTGTTTTCCCCATGCAAACTTTCAAAGCACCTTCTATCACAAATAAAATAAGGTAAAAAATAAAACTACCTGAGACCGTAATGTTTGAAATCAGTCCTTAAATGTTCATGCTTTTAATATTGCATCCATATTTTCTGATTAATGTGTTAGTAATTCTACACTGTAAAAAATCCTGTTTGCCTTAAACTTTTAAGCTGGATCAAATTAAGTCCATTGAACTTATAGTATGTTAAACTGACTTAACAGCTTAGGTAACTTATAAAATCAAGTTAGAACATTATTAGCTTAGTTTAATAAGTTCTAATGAACTAAAAACATACGCTGCCAGGACTAATTGATCATATCATTTTTTACAGTATAAACAATTGGATTCACATAGTATTGCGTTAACTTTATCTGTGCAAAATAACTTTAATAACTCTTTTAAAAACGGCACATTTTGACTTTAAAGGTGTTCCTTAAATGTTGATCAGACGGGGGTTGCATGACATTTCAAATAATAAGAAACTACAATTATTAAGAAATAACCTGAATATCAGCTTGTATGTGCTTAATCTTTTCAGCCTTGAGAAAAGAAATGCTGTGTTCGACCGGTTCTTTACTGGTAAACCTGTGAAAAACATCTATTTGGGTTCTAGAGCACAAAGAAGTCCTAAATGAGTGCATAACAATGTTATATACTGTTATACAGGGTTGTCCAAACTTGGTCCAGGAGGGCCGGTGTCCTGGAGAGTTTAGTTCCAACTCTAATCAAACACACCTGAACCAGCTTATCAAGCTCCTAGTAGGTAAACTAGAAACTTCCTGGCTGGTGTGTTGAGGCAAGTTGGAGCTAAAGTCAGCAGGACACTGGCCCTCCAGAACTGAGTTTGGACATGCCTGATATAGGTTAACTGTATATAGGTTAACTGTAAGATTCAGCTAAAAATCTTCAGTAACGTTGTAGAAGAAAAAACATCACCTTAATGTCATGAGGGAAAGCAATTTAACATTATTTTTTCATTTTTGAGTGAACTATCACTTTAAGAAATATGGAGACATTTTTAGGATTGTTGTTTCAAGTAAAACACGCATTTGTATGATATACAGTTGAAGCCAAAATTATTCGCGCTCCTGTGAATTTTTTTCCTTTTTCAAATATTTCCCTAATGATGTTTAACAGAGCAAGGAATTTTTCACAGTATTTCCTACAATATATTTTCTTCTGGAGAAAGCCTTATTTGTTTTATTTCGGCTAGAATAAAAGCAGTTTTATTTTTTTTACCATTTTAAGGTCAAAATTATTAGCCCCCTTAAACAATATTTGTTTTCGATTATATACAGTACAAACAACTGTTATGCAAGGATTTACCTTTATTACTTGCCTAATTACCCTAATTAAGCCTTTAAATGTCACTTTAAGCTGAATACTAGGATCCTAAAATATCTAGCCAAATATTATTTACTGTCATCATGGCAAAGATAAAATAAATCAGTCATTAGAAATGAGTTATTAAAACTATTATGTTTAAAATGTGTTGAATAAATCTTTCCATTAAAGAGAAATTGGGGAAAAATATAAAGGAAGGCTAATAATTCTGACTTCAACTGGATGTGTGAGGGACATCTCTGTTTTGAGGGCCTCATCAACCTTGTCTGCAGTTTGTCCAGTAGTTTGTGCTTTTGCTCGATGACCCAAACCTGACCTCTGCAGGAGTTACACCATACACGTCACACAACACTGCTTGCGGATGGACCGAAGAGAGCAACGGCCCAGCAGCTTGAGTTTCTCACAAAACAGTGACGACATGCTGTTTTTCTTACAAAGCAGACCTGCAAAGAAGAACAGCAAAACAGCCAATCTTAGTTAAAGGAGTCTTGAACACAAGATATTTATTCTAACATGGATCCAGATCTGATATTATTTCCACAAAGCTCTGTCACAGATTGAAATGTTAGCATAATTCTGTCCAGAGAAATACGCAAAGAATGAAGACTTCAGTTCTGTGAATTATAGACTTGTCATCATGCCATGGAGAAGCATGAATAATGTTTTGCTCAAATGTGATCCATCTGCCTGATTATCTGTATAAATGTTCTCAAACTCAATTCCTGGAGGGCCGCAGCTCTGCACAGTTTAGCTCCAGCCACCTCCACCTCACACCTGCATTACAGTTTCTTGTAGTCTTGAACCCCTTGATTAGCTGGATCAGCTGTGTTTAATTAGGGCTGAAGAAAAACTGCGCAGAGTTGCAGCATTTCAGGAATCCAGTTTGAGACCTGTGCTCTGTATTGTCAGAATCGCTGACTCAAACTCATTTATTCCTTAATTTTCCTTTGGCTTAGTCTCTAGTTTATCAGAGGTTGTATTAAATCAGAGGTTATATTAAAAATATAACATTTCAACATTATTTTTAACATACAATTGCTTTAACAGAAAGATATTATCAACACATTTCTATAGTTTTAATAACTCATTTCTAATTACTGATTCTTTTATTTTTGCCGCTATGACAGTAAATAATATTTGACTAGATATTTTTCAAGATACTAGATATTTCGTCACCTTATAATTATAAGGTTCTATCTGACAATTTTTCGAATTTTTCAATATTGAGTTATTAACATATTCTTATTAAATGACAACTTATTTACATTATGGGATGTTTTTTATAAGTTGTTTACATTTTAAGACTTTTTATTTAAAAAACAAATGTTACACACACACACTGTTTGCTATATGGAATGCAAAAAACTTTGAAGCTAAAAATATCAAAATCATTCAGAACGCAGATAGAACCTAATAATTCTAATGTGACGACTTTTCAAGTGACATTTAAAGGCTTAAACAGGTGAATTCGACAAGTTAGGGTAATTAATGATGGTTTGTTCTGTAGACAATCAAAATAAATAATGCTTAAGGGGCCTAATAATTTCTACCTTAAAACTGTTTTAAAAACATAAAAAAAATATATATTTTAGCCGATATAAAACAAGATATTCTCCAGAAAAAATAGAGGAAATACTTTGAAAATGTTTTTATATATTTACATATAAAATGAAAAGTAACTAGTAACTATTTACTTGAGTAATTTTTTCATCAGATACTTTTTTTTACTTTCAAATAACTTTTAAGATTGTTACTTTTTACATGAGTAAAAATTTCCGCACGTACTCTTACTCAAGTATAGATTTTGGATACTCTACCCACCTCTGTGTATGAAGTAATCTCGACTAAAGTTCACGTAGTTTAGTTTAGTTTGTTGCTTTAATTAAAACTTTATCCACAAAAAGCTGATTAAATAAGCATGTCATTTTAAAGAACTTCTGTTTGTAATGTAAAGCGACGCCAACAACAGGGTGCGGATCCAAACGCAGGTTTATTAAATGGAATGGTCAGGCAAGCAACAGTCAACACAGGAGCAAACAGATGTATACAGGTAATCCAGAGTCGTAATTAAATAAACAGGCAGATGGTCAAAAGGCAGGCAGCAGACAAGAATAAACAAATAAAACAAAGCAAGGTTCAAACACGGAAGGCAAGGAAACCGCGTCGTAATGTTCACAGTTCATTATAACAATACTCAGCAGCTTCTGTGTGTTTGTGTGCTGACTTAATAGTCCCTGTAATCAGATCATGAGCAGCTTCAGCTGTGAGTGTTTGCAGTCAGACAAGATCTAGGCCAGGTGTCTGAGTGGTGCATGACTGGATCTTGTAGATCTTTTGCTGGTAGATTTGTAGTTCTTCAGCGATCTGTATGGGCTAGATTGCTGGGACGCCAACTTATTCAGCATATGTTTTACGCAGCGGATGCCCTTCCAGCTGCAACCCATCACTGGGAAACATCCATACACACTCATATACTCACATAGTCTACAGACAATTTAACCTACCCAATTCACCTGTATCACATGTCTTTGGACTGTGGAGGAAACCGGAGCACCTGGAAGAAACCCACACAAACAACTGACCCAGCAGATGGCGAGCGGGACCACAGTATAACCAAAGAGCTTAGAATGACCAAGAGGCGACACTCTAGTGTAATTTGGGAAACAGCCACTAGAGGGCGCGGCGGCCATTTTGGAATGAAAACTCCAGTAGAACAACAGCGTATTATAAGTCTGTTAAACAAACTATTAAAAGTGCTGATGATTGTGATAATAAGTGTTGTTTTGTCGTCTTTCAGGTTGTATCTAAGTTTTAATGCGGTTTTTAACTAAATAAATAAAAAACAAAGCAGCTGCTTGCCATCGCGATAGTAATGACATCCTATGGACAGCCGATCGCTTTCACTGCAAAATGGCGGAATCCAGGGCTGCTGCTGGGTGCTGCTACTGCAATGGAACGTTCAACTGAGTGTCGCCTCTTGGTTATTCTAAGCTCTTTGGTATAACTCCCACGTCTTCCTAGACTTCAGCCAATGATCCAACAGGTGCGCGGGCTCTAACCGAAAGCGGGAGCCGCGTCTCTACAGCAACCTCTCGGACACAACCTCTCCAATGCAGCGTCTCGCGATAATTGCAAACAAGATATATGGATCATATTTATTATCACTTGGCTGTAACGGAGGAACGCCATCAAATGTAGCGAAGTAAGAGTAATTATTTTTCTCTAATAATTTACTTGAGTAAGAGTAAAAGTACACATTTTTAAATTAACTCAAAAAGTACTCGTCACCCAATAATTTCACTCAAGTAAATGTAACTCGTTACTTCCCACCTCTGTTCATACATTCACAAAAAATCACCAAATCACCAGCACATTTAGAGAATTAGATGAACAAATGTTAGTGATCCTAAAAGATTTGTTTGATATTTGGCTCCTAATGTATCAACGCTGCGTACGCACAAAAACTTTGCGTACGCCAGGTTTCACGCTCAGAATCGCTCACGTTTGGATTTACCAACGATGAACTGAACGTGGGAATGTGCGCAGCTTCACGGCAGCTTTATGGCTGGCATACGCACATTTTTTGTGCGTGTCTGTTTTATTTCCATTGGCGACTCCTAGAGGCAGTTGTGTTAAATTCCTCTCCACAAAGTGTCTGAGCCTTTTAATGGCAGCTGTATGAGACGGGTTCATCTAGCAGGTATATAAGGTTTCCATACCATACAGTTAACCAGCTAAACATTAAAGCACAATTTGCAGCGGTCGTCTGTTTTCCCAATGTAATCTGAGCTATCTACTGCACACACATTACTATAAAGACACTATCTGAAGATGAATTTGCATGCGTGAATCAGAAACATTTCCATTCAATAAATGTGCAAATAAAATATGATGCACAGACTTGATTCCTACTTGTCTTTCTCGTGATAAATATTTGGCAAAATCTGATATTTAGCGGGGGAAAAAACAAGAAAGAGTTCATCAGACGCTGGATTCGAACCGAGTTCATGCTCGAACGTGTCAAAACATGTTAACATGCGATTTACAAGTTGCACCACTGAGACTGTTAAGGGTACTGCAACATTTTACACCTATAAATCACACTATTTCTCTTTTAACTCCACAGTGCGATGTTCAGACCCAACTGTGTTAACCGCATCAGCTAAACTCTCCCACTCTATTTTTTTTTCTTTTGTTGTTAATTCCGAAAAACAAACTTGCAAATAACACCGCTTTTCTCCGGTCTACCTCCGAAAGCAGCACCTCCAATTCACATTCTGTTCAAAGTTTCTCTTCTTGCTTGCTTTTGCCTTTGCTTTTTCGTTGGGTTTTGCCAAAGTATAGTCATTAGCATATTCATACGGGGGACGAGGCAGGGAGGGGTTTTGTGCTCGAGCATGTTGCGCTCAGTTTCACGTTCATTCAGATGTACAAAAGAATATGCGTGAGATTCGGCGTACGCAGTGTTTCATACATCTGAATTTTTTTCTGCGTACGCACATTTACAGCTTTGTGCGTACGCAATGTTTTAGTATGATTTCCACATAAGTCTTCGTACATGAGGCCCCAGGGCATTCTTTGTGTCTAAATACATTTCGGGCCACTATATGCATACTGTATCATCAATTATGAAACAAACAGACCTGTATATAATCTTACCTAAATCAGTTTTGCAGTCTTCTGTGCTGCAGTTCTGTACACTGTCGGGTTTATTGATTATTGCACACATTGACGCCTTTTCTTCTTCGCCGGATTCCTCATTTATGCACCTCACCGCTCGCTTCTGAACCCCTCCACCACAACTTCTGGAGCACTGTCAATCAAAATAAATCAATACATATATTTAAAAAAAATTGTACAGGATGAACTCTGGAATATGAATGCCACACCCACCTGATTAAAAAACAAAAAAAACAATACTTCTGACTAGCTAAAGGAAGTTATGAATTAAAGATTGCAAGCCACTTTTAATTATGCTTTAAAGGGGTCCTATTATTCCCCTTTTACAAATATGCCTCTGACGTCTCTAGAGTGTGTATGTAAAGTTTCATGTAAAAATAGCACACAAAATTACTACACAACTCTTGATAACTCCCCCTTTCTTTCATCCAAATGGTCCCTTTTTGGTGTTTATATCAATCAATAATGAAGAGACCTGCAGTGCTGACTGACCACCAGCCACTAGCTATGTTTCTATCCAAAAATGCGAATGACCTTTATGCGCAAAACTGGATTATTGCATAAAAGACGTGCAAATAAAACAGAGTTTCCTTCAAAGCGAACAAAATCGTCACTTTCTGATTAACTGGCGCCAAAAACTGAAAAAAAATCAATTTGCTGCAGTAGGAGAAGCTGCGTCAATCTTTTCTTCATTGAATAAATGACTTGCGCCTCAGAAGGCAATCCCGACACGCAGTGAACGCGCGGTGGCGTTTGAAGGCGTGAGACGCGGAGCACTGGCGCTCTTGTTTCTGGAGGTCATTAATAATATAATAACACTAATACTGAAACGGTAAGGCGTTTTAGATCCACCAAAACAACATTTCAGATGGTTTACAGTGTGCTCAGCCTGATGGTTTGTCCATTCGCACACATTTTATTCATCACATGATCTCTTATAACAAAATCACATGACCTTTTTTAATGCGCATGCTGGAGTTTGTACAGTAAAAGTGTTTCCATCGTAGTTTATGCGCCTCTTTACTTATCGAATAAAAAGTTTATCCTACTCTGTTATGCGCATATGTTTTATGCGCATTTTCAAAATTTATGCGCATCATGGCGTTTCCATCAACTGTTTATGCGCATATGCAAAATGCGCATAAAAATAGGTGGATGAAAACGTAGCTAATTTTGGACACTTCCGACGGCGTGCTTACATTTTAACTGCACAAACTAAACTTAAATATCTAAACTATCCAAAAAAGAAATAACCAAAAGGATAATTTCTCAAATATTCCACTCAGCTCAAGGCATCTACACCACCTGGGGCATTGCTAGACATAAAGCTCTACTGGGGCACAGCTCCCCATAAATGAACATTATACAGTTGAAGTCAGAATTATTAGCCCCCCGTTTATTTTTTCACATATTTCTGTTGAACGGAGAGATTTTGTCAACACATTTCTAAACATAATAGTTATAATAACTCATCTCTCTCTAATATCTGATTTATTTTCTCTTTGCCATGATGACAGTACATAATATTTTACCAGATATTTTTCAAGACACTTATATACAGCTTAAAGTGACATTTTATATATATATATATATATATATATATATATATATATATATATATATATATATATATATATATATATATATTGTAGTGAGTATACCAATGCCACATCGCCCTGGTCCCATATTCACCCCAGCTGACACCTCATCAGCACCAGATCGCTCACAGCTGGACCTCATCAGCCGGAGAGGCATAAAAGCCAGCCCCACACAGGAGGAAGACGAGCTTCATTTACACATGACTCCCTGAGTTAACGCTGGTGTCTCGCTATCTCTCCCACAGCGGACTCCAGCTCGTGAACGATCCAACACCCGAACTCTCACTATCCTTCACCTTCTCCCCAGAGCACCAGAGCACCACAACCAAGAAGAGCACCGTATTTTCACACTATTCACCTTGTAAATAAAGCACCCTCCGGGGACTTGTTTGTAACCAATGCTACTGTGTTTGTGTTTTCCCTCTGCCTCGCTACAATATATTTTATTGTTATTATACAATTATTATTCTAAATAAGAAATTAATTCTAAATTTATTTGGAAAACAATCTAAAGACACAACTAGAGTGATGCTAAGTTCATTTAAGAAATCTATAGCATAATTATATTTTTTTACAATGAAATTCTAAAGACAACTCAATAGAATACAAAAAAAAGGTGTTTTATAGCATTATCAGTTGTGTGTTGTCTTAGACCCAACTCATGGCCGAGAATTAGGTTTATTAAGTCTCCCTCCCTGACTTCATCCCTCTTTTTTGCTTTATACAAAAAATCTATCAGGAGCTTAGTCAAAATAAGATCACTATCATATTATTAAGACTTTAGTTTTGGCGACTTGCAAAACTCACTGCGTGCCAACACCTCGTCTTAATTCTTGGATTACCACTCTTAATTAATACACTTGCATATTCGTTTCTCAAAGCATTTACTGGGGCACTGGCAATTTTTACTGGGGAACGTGCCCCAATAAATGGGGTCTAGCGACGCTCCTGTACACAACCATAGTTTTTAGAGGTCACTATTATCACCAAAATAATGCAGTGAAAGCCATCATTTCAAATTCATTCATTTTCCTTCAGCTTAGTCTGTATTTCAGAGGTCACCACAGCGGAATGAACCACTAACTATTCCAGCAAATGTTTTACGCAGCGGATGCTTTTTCAGCCGCAACCCAGTACTAGGAAACAAACATACACACATTCACACACACACTCATACACTACATCCAATTAAGTTCATCCAATTCACCTATAGTGCATGTCTTTGGACTGTGGGGAACACCGGAAGGAAACCCAGGAGAGAACATGCAAACTCCACACTGAAATGACAACTGGCCCAGCCGGGACTCAAACCAGTGACCTTCTTGCTGTGAGGCGACAATGCTAACCACTGAGCCACCGTGCCGCCCATCATTACAAATGAAAATATTTTTCAAACCAAACCTATTTTTTTCAATGTAAAATAGACTGAATTGGGCTAATTACCTGATTAAATCAACTTCTTTCACTACAACATGATCAGATGTGTTTTTGTCAATCACAAGAAGACAATACATAAATACAGATGTAAATAGGGTCTAAATGGTACCCCTTTAAAGTGGACCTATTATGCCTCTTTTTACAAGATCTAAAATAAGTCTCTAGAGTGTGTATGTGAAGTTTCAGCTCAAAATGCCCTATGAATAACCTTTTATAACTCTTTGAAACTGCCTTTATAGGCTTTGATCCTAATTGTGCCATTTTGCTGACCGTCGCTTTAAATTCAAATGAGATTGAGTTCTTTTTAAAACAGGGAGGAGCAACAATGCCTATGTGTCAGCATAGCAGCAGATTCAAAACTCTAATACTCTGATTCTCACTCAAGGCTATCTATGCTGATGAGGCAGAGATCGTCACTAGTGGGCGGGGCTTTCCCCCTTTAATGACACGCAGAAAGGTAGAATGTCAATCAAAGTGTTTCCGTTTTCATGAAGTGTGATTATACAAATATAATTAATAATTTTTTACTATTAAAGCTTTGTTATATTCACACACTGTTGCCACACAACTGTGTTTAAACCCCTTATAAAAGGGATTTCTGCATAATAGATGCTCTTTAAAAAAGGACAAAAGGTTTATTATGCAGCATTTTAATAAGAAATAAACAAGGCTGCATTATTAAAAAATATTAAAGTAATATATGTCAAAACATTGCATTTGTCAACATTTCAAGCCTGACAACTCCTCTTTAGAAATGAATATTTAAACATACTAATGTTTTTATTGTTGTAACATTTGAGAGTGTATCACCTGACTCCAGGCTTCAGTTGCCCAGCCGGCGCACGGCTGCAGATGGCAGGACTCAGTGCTGTTGGGTTTGAGTGTGACATTGCAGTGCTGGTTCTCGGGACAGTACACAAGCCTTTCCTTCACTCCATGTCCACAGCTTTTTGAGCACTGTCAATCACAGGTGACAAAAATAAAATAAAAATCACACTTTATTTTAGTCGAATTCTCGCTTTTAATTATCCATTAAATATGAATCTCAATGAACTCCTGATTTGCTTCTTATTGAAAGTTTTTAAGGTTCTAGTCGGGTATGGGTAAGATTATGGGTGTAGAATTAGGGCCTACTCACACTTTGCCATCCGTACCGTGCCCAGGCGCGTTTCCCGGATCATTTGAGAAGTGTGAGTGCGCTGAATCGGGCTCAAGCACGGTTCACTTGGCCGGCACTGGCCCGGTTGGAAGAGGTGTGCCTGAGCGCGGTTCACAGCGCGGTGTGTGAGTGCAAAACGCGCCAAAGCCCGAAACTGAAAGCGAGACGTGACTTTTACGGGGCTGTTTCATATGGATTTATTAATCATTCTTACTGTTCAGTGAACGCAAACTGCCATAGTTTATTAAAGACGAGAACTCCTCACAGCATGACAGCTGCACGCCTTCAGCAGACCTCCTCATTCCTGCAGCACAAGAGTTTTATTATTGTTTATGAGCACCAAAAGTGGCAGATCTGTTCTGCGAAATATCTGACTGCGTGTCACCGCATCCCTAAGGACTGTTTGGCGAAATATTTGACTGCATGTCACTGCATATCAAACGACTGAAACGATATAACTAGAGAAATCTCCTCTGTGCTGCTGAGTGAGAGAGCGCTTGTCTCTGAACAGCCCAGCAGCGATGACGTAAGCGTGCCGAGGCTTGTTTGTGGTGTGAGTGCGGGCCCTCGGGGGAGACGGGAGGGGGGACAAGCGTGCTTTGGCCCGGTTCGAGGCAACTGTACCTAGTGTGAGTACGGCCTAAGATCATGCAGAATACAGTGTGGGAAATACACTCACTGGCCACCTTACTAGTATCATATTGGACCCCTTTTTGCCTTCAGAGCTGTCTTAATCCTTCGTGGCATAGGTTCAACAAGGTACTAGAAATATTCCTCAGACATTTTGCTCCATATTGGCATGATAGCATCACACAGTTGCTGCACATTTGTCGGCTGCATAACCATGACGCGAATCTCCCGTTCCACCATATGTTACGCCCTCGAAGAACAAGAAAAAAAAAAAGAGAGGGGGAAGCCAAGTCACGTTTCAAAAGTTTATTTTTAAGCCCACTGTGACCAAACATTAGGCAAAACGCCCCGCCAACTCGCTAGCCGTTGGTCTCCGTCGAACCCTTAGAATCAGGTCAAGAGTCTCTCTCAAACAGTGGCAAGATGCTGATAAAAGAGCGCACACTTGAACTCAGGTGTTCCCCGTCCACCTGATTATGCTCTGTAATGTTACAGCACATCTGTAGAGGGAGCAAAACACACAGACAGACACGGCAGACAAATGACAGCCCAGCAGGCGTCACACCAGAGGTGCTCTATTGGATTGAGATCTGGTGACTGTAGAGGCTATAGGAGTGCAGTGAACTCATTGTCATGTTCAAGAAACCAGTCTGAGATGATTCACACTTTGACATGGCGTGTTATCCTGCTGGAAGTAGCCATCAGAAAACAATACTCAGGTAGGCTGTGGCATTGATACAATGCTCAATTGGTACTAATGGGCCCAAAGCGTGCCAAGAAAATATCCCCCACACCATTACACCACCACCTCCAGCCTGAACTGTTGATACAAGGCAGGATGGATCCATGCTTTCATGTTGTTGAAGGCAAATTATGACCCGACCATCCGAATGTTGCAGCAGAAACTTAGACTCATCAGACCAGGCAATGTTTCTCCAATCTTCTATTGTCCAGTTTTGGTGAGCCTGTGTGAAATGTAGCCTCAGTTTCCTGTTCTTAGCTGACAGGAGTGGCACCTGGTGTGGTCTTCTGCTGCTGTAGCCCATCCACCTCAAGGTTGGACGTGCTGTGCGTCTTCTGCAGACTGCGGCTGTAACAAGTGGTTATTTGAGTTTGTTGCCTTTCTAACCGCTGGAACCAGTCTGGCCATTCCCCTCTGACCTCTGGCATCAACAAGGCATTTGCGCCCGCAGAACTGCCGCTCACTGGATATTTCCTCTTTTTCAGACAATTGTCTGTAAACCCTAGAGATGGTTGTGTGTGAAAATCCCAGTAGATCAGCAGTTTCTAAAATACTCAGACGAGCCCTTCTGGCACCATCAACCATGCCACATTCAAAGTCACTTAAATCATCTCTCTTCCCCATTCTGATGCTCAGTTTAAACTGCAGCAGATCGTCTTGACCATGTCTAGTTGCTGCCATGTGATTAGCTGATAAGAAATTTGCTTTATTACCTAATAAAGTGGCCACTAAATTTTTTAAGTTTTTTTTTTCCTGGGAATTGTATTTCTTAAGAAGCTGTTGACAGAATTAAATTTTTGGTAAAAACCCAAACAATACAAGCATAAAAATAAAACAAAACAAAAATCTAAAAAAATTTGTTATGTTTAATAACAATGAAATGTTTTTTTTTTTTTTTTGGTGATGGCAGCTTAAAGAGGCCTCTTATATGGAAAGTGAAGTCACATGCATTGTTCAGGTGTGAGTTTTCTTTTTACAGTCTTCAACAGAGTGTAAAAATCTTAATGGTTCTACTGAAATGATCACTGATCCTGAGTTCAGTACCTCTCCCCAGGGCGAATGCATCCACTGCAGGCAGGGCAGAGTGTTGCAGGGCAGACTACTGGGTGGTTTGTGCGAAAGAGCCTGACAGTGAAAAGGCCTCAGTGGACGCCTGTTCTGAGTATCAATGCACTGCACTTCTCGATACTTCATATCGGTCACACAGCCTTCAGGACACTAAAGAGAAAGAGGGAGGCATGTCATGGTTCATAGAACAGCTGCACAATATGTTGTTTCAGTATTGGTATAATAATAGGCGTGGGATGATAAACGGTTTCAAGGTTTACAACGGTTTGGAAATTCAAAGTTTCATTCATTCCTTTTCCTTCAGCTAAGTCCCTTTATTCATCAGGGGTTGCCATAGCAGAATGAACCGCCAACTAATACAGCATATGTCTTACATATGCTCTTCCAGCTGCAACCCAGTACTGAGAAACACCCATACACACTCATTCACACACATACACTACGGCCAATTTAGTTTATTTAATTCACCTATGGTGCATGTCTTTGGACTTGTGGGGAAAACCAGAGCACCCGGAGCAAAACCCACGCCAACACAGGGAGAACATGCAAACTTCACACAGAAATGCCAACTGGCCCAGCCGGGACTCGAACTAGCGACCTTCTTGCTGTGCGGTGACAGTGCTAACCACTGAGCCACTGGAATTGCAATATGTTTATTCATTCATTTATTTTCTTGTCGGCTTAGTCCCTTTATTAATCCGGGGTCGCCACAGCGGAACGAACCGCCAACTTATCCAGCAAGTTTTTACGCAGCGGATGCCCTTCCAGCCGCAACCCATCTCTGGGAAACATCCACACACACATTCACACACACACTCATACACTACGGAAAATTTAGCCAACCCAATTCACCTGTACCGCATGTCTTTGGACTGTGGGGGAAACCGGAGCACCTGGAGGAAACCCACCCGAAGACAGGGAGAACATGCAAACTCCACACAGAAATGCCAACTGAGCCGAGGTTCGAACCAGCGACCCAGCGACCTTCTTGCTGTGAGGCGACAGCACTACCTACTGCGCCACTGCCTCGCTCAATTGCAATATGTATTGCAGAAAAAAAAATATCACAAGTTTTTTCCAATATTGTGCAGCCCTAGTTGATAGCAAGCATTCCGTGATTTGGTATTGTTTAAAAACATAATTTCACCTTGGACCAGTTTCCAGTCTTCCAGACGGCACAGGGTCGCAGGTTGCATCGTCTGGCCGGTTCTGGCTTCTTCACACTGGCACAGTCTTCCTCTTGCTTTGAGCTGCAGGAGACGGACCGCCACACTGCACCAAGACCACACGAAGTAGAGCACTAGGAGAAACAACGCACATTAAACAGCATCTAAAGTACAGGTGAAGTTAAAATGATTCACCCTCCAGTGATTTTTTTTTCTTTCTTTTTTGAATATTATCAAACAGAGGATGGAATTTTTCACAATATTTGCTATAATATTTTTTCTACTGGAGAAGTATTTGTTTGTTTTTTTAGCTAGAATAAAAGCAGTTTTTTATTTTATTAAAACAATTTTAAGGTCAACATTATTAGCAATATATATACTGCATATTTTCGATTGTCTACAGAGCATCCATCGTTATACAATGACTTGCCTAATTACCTTTAGGCAATTAGGGTTACTGCTTTGAACACTTGTATCTTGGATTCACCTCTGTTGTATTTATTGTTATACTGGTGAGCGTGACAGAACGAACTGACCGTGAAACAAAGGACTGGTGACAAAAGTCAACAGCATCTTTAGAAATATGTTTTCTGAAAAAAATTGTGTCATGTTCAATACTTATTCCCCCCACTGTATATTTGAATATACAGTGCATCTGGAAAGCTTCACTTTTTCACATTTTGTTATGTTACAGCCTTATTCCCGAGGCAGTGGCGCAGTAGGTAGTGCTGTCCCCTTACAGCAAGAAGGTCGCTGGTTCGATCCTCGGCTCAGTTGGCGTTTCTGTGTGGAGTTTGCATGTTCTCCCTGCCTTCGCGTGGGTTTCCTCCGGGTGCTCCGGTTTCCCCCACAGTCCAAAGACATGCGGTACAGGTGAATTGGGTAGGCTAAATTGTCCATAGTGTATGAGTGGGTGTGTGAATGTGTGTGTGGATGTTTCCCAGAGGTGGGTTGCGGCTGGAAGGGCATCCGCTGCGTAAAAACTTGCTGGATAAGTTGGCAGTTCAGTCCGCTGTGGCGACCCCGGATTAATAAAGGGACTAAGCCGACAAGAAAATGAACAGCCTTATTCCAAAATAGATTAAATTCATTTATTTCCTCAAAATTCTACACACAATAACCCATAATGACAATGTGAAAAAGATTTGTTGAAATTGTTGCAAATTTATTAAAAATAAAAAAGCTGAAAACTTACATGTACATCAGTATTTACAGCCTTTGCGGTGAAGCTCTAAATTGAGCTCAGGTACGTTCTGTTTCCACTGATCATTCTTGAGATGTTTCAGCAGCTTCATTGGAGTTCACCTGTGGTCAGTTCAGTTGATTGGACATGATTTGAAAAGGCACACACCTGTCTATATAAGGGCCCAGGGTTGACAGTCACAGGGCTGATAGTGGAAAAAATTCCTGAGCCTGAACTTTTTTTCCTTGCCCCTGAGGTGAGTAGGGGTGGGGGTATTATGTATGCAACGCACTTTTAACACATAACTTGTGGGCCCCTGGGCCCAAATATATTAACAGCCTATGTGTAACCCTGATCATCATTATTGTCAAGTGGCTCTTTTTAGACACATGCCAGTAATGTCAGTGACACATGCCAGTGTCAGTGATCTTGTGACATGTGCCAGTAGGTGTCAGTATAAGCACGTTATAAGCACATTAATCTTATAAGTCTCTTTGCTTTAATATTTAAAAATCATTAGGCAAATGACACCTGTTATCTTACATGCATATATGTTATGAGTTTTCAACATGCATTTTATTATAACTTTTTAAAGGATATTATTTAAAATACCTTAAAATGAAAATAAGTTAAATAATAAAATAAATGAATGAATTAAAAACATAGAGAAGTCCATATTGTAGGGTACAAAGGAACTGCCAGGATGCAATAATATACAGTACAACAGATAAGTGTAACCCCTCCCATACATAAGCATGCCACAATAAATTTGACTGACATGTACTGTCAAATGACTATATTACGTACAGAAGTATGACGACGAATACATAAAATAAATGCGTTTAAATTAAAACATCGTGGAGTAGCTCAGCAAATAAACTAACTTGCGACGCGATAAATTAGGTTAAAAGTCGCGTAATGATTAAATATGGTTTTGCTCGTGTTTATTGATGTCATAAGCTTCGCCGGGTGTCGATGTCACTGCAGTGGCATGCAGCGCGACACTCTGAGTGACACAGGTCACTACACATGCCACTAGCGAGTGACACATGACAGTGGAAAACCGGACGTGCCACCGGAAGTGTCACTACACTCAGTCATGTGCCAGTGTCATCTGTACGTCAGAGGTCGTGTCACTCCATGTTAAAACTGCTACTGTGAATCCGCGTTCAAGCGCACACAATAAGCTAAAACTCGCCCCAAGCACCGGCAAAAACAAATAACAATAAATGTGTCGAGGAAAGAGTAAGGACATAACTTAATTATTTATTAATAAACTTATTCTGAGTCAGTGTCGCAAAGATCCTGACTGGCAATCTCCTCTTGGACTCGCCTTTAGAGAGAATTCATCTTTACGGATTACATGAAGGAGTTTTTTTGTTTTCGATTTGTTTTATTACGTTAATTAATAATTTAAAGCTTTCTATAAATATATTTATGTCTGTGAGGCATATACATTTTGCTTCATTTTGTTAAGCGCTCCTGTTCAAAAACCAGACGACAGAAAGGGCATAATTTTGGTTTTCTTTATTTTATAAAAACGCTGTAACGTTTTTTGATGTATTACTCGTACTTTGTGAGCAACAATGACGGATAACTTTAAATTGCTCCCACTGAAAAAATGCAAGTGATTGCTCTGGCGCCTCAATGTCCTGCAAGCTTTTTATAAGCAAACTATGCGCCTAATAGCACACATTCTTTAACGTTTAAGCTACCATTGTTTTATACTTGAACTGTTTTATATCTTTTATTTTAGGCAAGTCGTGATGATCTGAGAAGGCAAACTGATCAAACAGACAATGATGGTCTTCCGCTGAGCGCTGTTCGTTAAAAAAACTTATTTTTAACGAAAAAAAAAAATGCTCCAAACGTTTTTCTAAATAAGCCGAATAAAAAACGAAACTAAATATAAACACTTTGCCATTAGGCTACATAAAAAACTGAACTATTTCAAAGCTGAAACACTAAGTTGTTTAAGGAGAAGGGGGAAATATATTTTTGTCCCGTCTATTGCTTCACCGTTATTTCGAGAATAAACCCAGCGTAAATATGCAGATGTCATTCCCAAAACATATCAGCGTATATGTGCCGAAAACGAAAGTTTCATACAAATTCTGAATGGATTATAGCCTGGAAAGTGCAAAGCACGCTCCTCTTATCACTAAAAAGCGTCACTAATCTTAGTTCATATAGAGATCTCATAAAGATCCGTTATAATTTATAAAGCTCTCAAAATTACACAATTAATCTTTTATTTACATGGCGTCTACACTCAAAAGATGATTCACGAGCACACAAAATGGCACTTAATAAAGACCAATCCGGCGCTTTCAGCAGTGAGTGAATTCTGTGAATAGAGAAATGACAGATCAATATCCGTGAACCTGATTTTTTCCCCCGCAGCCACAGTACGCCGGAAATCCGGCGTGGTGCCGGAACGCTATCACCCCTGCAGTCAAAGCACAAACCAAGCATGAAGACAAAAGAATTGTCTGTAGACCTCCGAGACAGGATTGTCTCGAGACACAAGGCTGGGGAAGGTTACAGAAACATTTCTGCTGCTCTGCAAGTTATAATGAGCACAGTGGCCTCCATCATCTGTAACTGGAAGATGTTTGGAACCACCAGGACTCTTCCTAGAGCTGGCCGGCCATCTAAGCTGAGTGATCGAGGGTGAAGAGCCTTAGTCAGGGAGGTGATCAAAAACCCGATGGTCACTCTGTCTGAGTTCCAGCGTTCTTCTGTGGAGAGAGGAGAACCTTACAGAAGGACAACCATCTGTGCTGCAATCCACCAATCAGGCCTGTATGGTAGTGTGGTGAGACGGAAGACACTCCCTGCCTGGAATTTGCCAAAAGGCATCTGAAGGACTCTCAGACCAGAAGAAACTAAATTCTCTGGTCTGATGAGACTAAAATTGAACTCTTTGGAGTGAATGCCAGACGTCACGTTTGGAGAAAACCAGGCACCGCTCATCACCAGGCTAAAACCATCCATTTTTCAGCAGCAGAAACTGGAAGACTAGTCAGGATAGAGGAAAAGATGAATGCAGCAACATACAGAGACACCCTCAATGAAAACCTGCTTTAGAGTGCTCTTGACCTCAGACTGGGGCGATGGATCATCTTCCAGCAGGACAATCACCCAAAGCACACCGGCAAAATATCAATGAAGTGGCTTCACAACAACTCTGTGAATGTCTTTGAGTGGCCCAGCCAGAGCCCAGACCCCAATCTTATTGAACATCTCTGTAGAGATCTGAAAATGGCTGTACACAGTCACTTTTCCATCCCACCTGATAGAGCTTGAGAGGTACTGCAAAGAGGAATGGGCAAAAAGTCCCAAAGACAGGTGTGCCAAGCTTGTGGCATCACATTCAAAGAGAGAATGCTGTAAATGCTGCCAAAATAACATCAACAAAGTGTTGAGCAAAGGCTATGAATACTGATGTACATGTGATTTTTCAGCTTTTTTATTTGTAACAAACTTGCAACAATTTAAAAAAATCGTCATTTATTGTCGTTATGGGTTATTGTGTGTAGAAGTTTGAGGAAATAAATGAATTTAATCCATTTTGGAATAAAGCTGTAACATAACAAAATGTGGAAAAAGTGAAGCGCTATCAATATTTTCCGGATGCACTGTATGCATCAAAAAGTATTTAAATTTCACAGGAGGGCTAACAATTAGTCTTCAACTATACCTGAACCTTCAAAACTATTCCATTGCTGCCATATAAGCACTAACATTTCCTTTTCAGGTAATGAAAGATAAGATAAATGAATTGAATTCTTACATCACTCCAGTTCCCCACTTTCCAAAAGGCATTCTTGCTGACAATCTGAGCGTTCAGATTCCCATCGTCATCATCTGTAATGGTCGTCATCTGCAGTTTCAGTCGGGCTGCTTTAAGCACATTGCTTTTATTGGGAACTTTCAGCGTTTGCAAGGCCTTTCTCAGTATCTTCACTGTAGGAACAGTTACCTGTGAACTTAGAGTGTTTAAATGTGACAGCGTTGGTTTTGGGGTAGAATTAAATTCATATAAGCTAGTTTTGGCACATGCATGCGTCGCCAGATGACCATCATATTGCGTCCGAATGGTAGTAGTAATGGCTGGTTTTGTTGTGCTAACTGGTGCACTCATTGTTATTGGTTGCACACTGGATATGAGCACTTCTTCAGGTTTGCTGGTGAACAAATCATCCTCACGTATCCGTTCTGGATCTTCTATGTAATCATAACCTGGTGTATAGCTTTTATCAGGAGGCTGCAGGTCTGTGCTTCCCTCCTCGTCTTCAGTAATTGTGGGAACTGCTACATTGTTTTTTTTTACTAGTATAAAGTCTTTGTCGTCTTCGTGGATGATATCCGATGTTGGGGAAGTGTTGGATTGTGTGGTAATGGGTGTAGAGGTGTTTGGAGGTGTGATAGTAGGGCTGTATTGTGTTGTTTGGGTCCCGGGGGGCTGGGTTGGGATTTTGCGTGGTCTGAATCGTGGTCCTGTCCATCGGTTAGTGGATGAGCAGCTCTGGAGGTTACAGAGGATTGTGGAGCGGGGTCGAGTGGCAGGGTTGCACCGGCTGGGTTGTTTTGCCACACACTTGACCATTCGCGACTTTATTCCTCCATCACAAGACTGGGAGCACTGCAAGACGCCACACATTTAAAAAGGAACATCACTTTAGGTTTAGACACAAAACATTTGCCATCTTTTGTGCGTTCACCATGTATGTGTTGCTAGGCCAAGTTTGTAGTCATGTTTCATGTGTACTTTAGGAACATTATCCATGTTCATTTGTAATATAGCAGCCTACCTCACTCCAGTTCCCCACAGTCCATTCTGAGCCACACGGTACGTCTCGGTTACAAGGAACTGCAGGTTTGGGTTTGAGCAGCTGCTTACAGTCACCAGGGTGCAGAACTCGCTCTTCTCCAGCCACCGTACGGACACACAGAATGGTGCGCTTTTTCACTCCGGTTGAACCGCATGTGGACGAGCACGTCTGCCATCCTCCAACCCACCACCTGAGGTCAGTACAGAGTTCATACAGATCATTTTAATACAACGGTGTCAAGTGTGAGGACAGAACCCAGACACAGATCAGCAATAAAAATACGCTCAACAAAAAACTGGACACAGAGCCCAGATAACAGCTTATATGGCTGGAATAAACAAAACAAAAAAAAAAACATGATAGTAATCATCATTTTAAATCAAAAATAAAATCAAACCGGGCAGAAAAACAGACATCAAACATCACATAACATGAGAAATAAATCAACAAGAGACAAAAGCACACTGGGAGAATAAATAGAGGAGCAGACGAAGACTAAAACGAGGAGGACAGGTGAGGCAAATTAACATGATGAACAGGTAACTAGATGAGTGGCCATGTGCTAACCATTGACTGTAAAAGATATTAGACATAGTATCCGCGACATCACTCATAGGTTTCTGAAGAGCGCAAATGAAGCAACAAGTAGGCGTGGCTAATCGTCGCCATTTTGTTTGCACGTCTTTGCACTGACGGAATTTAAACATCTTTCGTCTGGTGCAAACAGATAAATTGCTTATCCCTGCGTATCTCGTCACAAAGTGTTTTGTTAGAACACGGGGTTACAATGTAATCTGCTCACCTCTTGTTTACATTCATAATATTTATACCATTTGCTAATTATAATCTCATGTGGAACTCTGAATCTGTCTTATTTGAGAGTCTGCTACTGTCCACCGGAGGTCGCATTTCGGTCACGGATGCATGCTTTCAGAGCCTTTCTGAATGAATGAATAAAATACACGGTTTTCTAACAAGTCACCCTGGGGTGCTGAAATATAATTGGCTAAAATAGCAGTGAACGGGTTAAAAAGAACCAAAACAAAGACAGACATTCTGGCACGGAAAACCCATTTTCAAAGCAGAATATCTGAATTCAGAATTGTTTTTCAGATAAAACAAAAATGTTCACTTAGCATGTTTCTTAAATATCTACAAACATATTATGGGATTCTTATGCTTTAAGAGTCAAAAGCTCACATACAGCACCTTTATATCCTTGACTATTTAAAAAAAAAAAAAAAAAAAAAAAAATATATATATATATATATATATATATATATATATATATATATATATATGAACATTTATATGTATTTATGTACAGTTGAAGTAAGAATTATTAGCCCTCCTGAATTATTAGACCCCTTGTTTATTTTGTTCCTCATGTTCTGTTTACACATTTCTAAACATAATAGTTTTAATAACTCATCTCTAATAACTGATTTTTTTATCTTTGTCATGATGACAGTAAATAATATTTGACTAGATATTTTTCAAGACACTTCTATACAGCTTAAAGAGACATTTAAAGGCTTAACTAGGTTAATTAGGTTAACTAGGCAGGTTAGGGTAATTAGGCAATTTATTGTATAGCGATGGTTTGATCTGTAGACTATTGAAAAAAATTTGCTTAAAGGGGCTAATAATATATTGACCATAGAATTGTTTTAAATTATTAAAAACTGCTTTTATTCTAGCCAAAATAAAACAAATCAGACTTTCTCCAGACGAAAAAATATTATCAGACATACATTGAAAATTTTCTCAATCTGTTAAACATAATTTGGGAAATATTTTAAAAAGAAATAAAAAAAATCAAAGGGGGGGCTAATAATTCTGACTTCTGTATGTATTATATCATCTTGCATCAAAGATATGCATCAAATTACAAAAAACAAATGACCACTTATGTGAGGTGTTTCTAATGCAGTGTCTATGGGCCAGGAAAGTAAATTTGACGCTCTCTCCTCTGATTGATTTTGATTTAATTTGCACTTTAAAGAACATTTTTAAAAATTGTGTTGCATACATAATAAAAATATTAAGCTAACCTTATTAGAACCTTTAAATGTTAGCTGCGTATGAATAAAGCATACTGATAATTATGCAGAATTATACCTTGCAGGGCAGTCCCTGCTTTTGCACTTGCGATGTTTATCATCAGGACGTGTACTCGGATCACACAGGTTTTCCTCGACCACACCAACCTCTGGCTCAAAACAGCGCACAGGCTGATGCTGCTCACCTGAACAGATGCAAAAGATCACCAGTTATCAAATCCATGCTAGAATAACCTTCAGTGATGAAAACAAACTGAAAATACAGTTGAAGTCAGAATTATTAGCCCCCCTGAATTATTAGCCCGCTGTATATTTTTTTTCTTTAACAGAAAGAAGATTTCTTTAACACATTTCTAAACATAATAGTTTTAAAAAACTCATTTCTAATAACTTTATTTATTTATTTATTAATAACTTAAATTTATTTTATCTTTGCCATGATGACAGTACATATATTTGACTGGATATTTTTCAAGACACTTCTATACAGCTTAAAGTGACATTTAAAGGCTTAACTAGGGTAACTAGGCAAGTTAAGGTAATTAGGCAAATCATTGTTTATCAGTGGTTTGTTCTGTAGACAATTAGAAAAAAACAAATTGCTTAAGAGCGAGGCAGTGGCGCAGTCGGTAGAGCTGTCGCCTTACAGCAAGAAGGTCGCTGGTTCAAATCTCGGCTCAGTTGGTGTGTCTGTGTGGAGTTTGCATGTTCTCCCTGCCTTCGCGTGGGTTTCCTCCGGGTGCTCCGGTTTCGCCCACAGTCCAAAGACATGCGGTACGGGTGAATTGGGTAGGCTAAATTGTCCGTAGTGTATAAGTGTGTGTTTGGATGTTTCCTAGAGATGGGTTGCGGCTGGAAGGGCATCTGCTGCGTACAAACTTGCTGGATAAGTTGGCGGTTCATTCCGCTGTGGCGACCCCGGAATAATAAAGGGACTAAGCTGACAAGAAAATGAATGAATGAATGAATGAAATTGTTTAAGAGGGCTAATAATATTGACCTAAAAATAGTTTAAAAAAAATTTAAAACTGCTTTTATTCTAGCCGAAATAAAACAAAAAAGACTTTCTCCAGAAGAAAAAAATATTATAGAAAATACTGTGAAAAATTCCTTGCTCTGTTAAACATCATTTGAGAAATATTTGAAAAGAAAAAATTTAATGATTGTGACTTCAGCAGTATATTTTTAGTCATGTCTTCTTGTGTATCGTGTTTTCTACCAAGGCCACAAGTTGTGCTGCAGTCAGTCCAGGCTCCATGTTTCCAGATATACTCTGGTTCCAGGATTTCGTTTCCCAGCGGGCGACGCCTCTTAATGGTGTACTCGTACTTGACACCGGGATTCAGCTCTTGGAACAACAACTGAACAAGTCACAATGAAACAAAAATATCCATCATTTTATGACAATATGCAGATCATTTTGTGTTGCAAGTGCCGCCAGTCTTGGAAGCAAGAGCTGTGTTTGTCATGCAACTTTCATGCTTTCTCACATAAATAACGTCAGAAGAAGAGTGATTTATCAAACTAACGTTTTTATCTCTGCTATGAAAATAACATTATATTTTAATTACAGCTAAATTTGGTGTCATAAGAAACTCTTTCTGTCAGTCAATAGGCTGAAGGAATAGTCCATGTTCAATACAACAGGCTGTTTTTGTGATACATTAGCACAGAAAATAACAAAATGCTGCTTACAAAATGTATTTTTTAAGAAGTATTTTTGTAGTAAGTCAACAAACACAATAAAAGGCAAATGTGTATGTTTTTTGTACAACCCCAAATCATAAAAGTTGGGAGAGTATGGAAAACGCAAATAAAAAGACAATTGTCAAGATCACCAGTGATCGTACTTCATAGATCGCTGGATCTCACATACAATAACTCATGGACTACAAATCCGCCATTCATGGACTACATTTTCATACATGCACTCCGCTCACAGACACACATGGGCTGCGTCCGAAACCGCCTACTACTTGTAGTAGGTACTGCATTTGAATTTAAACGTACTACTCAGCCGTTAGAAAAGTATGTTCTATACAGTATGACTGTGAAAAGTATGAATGGAATTCAGACGTACTACATCCGCCATTTTGTCATGGTCACGTGACCTACTTGCGTCAGTTGCGTCGCCTCACTTCCATTCATGAATTCTCTCACGGGGCATTATGGGATAGTGCAGCATGCATGGGATGCACACTTCAGAATCTCGCCGGAAGTAGTAAGTCATCCGGGTACTTCTCGCCTACTGATTTTCGAATTCTAAGAATTCGGACATACTACTCGGCTCGCATACTGATTTTAGTGTACTATATAGTATGGAAGTATGAGCTTTCGGACGCAGCCATGCTTCCTCATTTAGACTGACTACACTCACACCACCTGAGGATTGTCAAACACTGATTACACACACTATTTAAGCAGCACACACACTCACTTCCTGGTCGAGTCATGTTATCTGTAAAGTAGCACTACAACGCGTTTCCCTAGCCTTGTTTGCCCGTGTATTTACCATGCCTTGTTTATCAAGTACTCTCTGTCTGCTGCTTGCCTTCTGACCTCTCGCCTGTTACTTCGACTACGATTCTGGACTGTCTTCATATATCCGTTTGTACCTGTGTTGACCATTGCTTGCCTGACCCCTGAATAACCCTGCACGTGGATCCTACTTCAGTTGTCTCTGTTACTCCCCGTGTTACAACAATACAACAAACATTATTGAATGTGTTCCTCGTGATTTTTTTTCATTTAAATAAACAAGTATTGTTATTTTGCTCCTTGAAACACATTTCTAAAACAGTTGGAACAGTAAAGCATTTAGCACTTTGTAATGTTGCCATTCCTTTTCACAACTCTAAAAAGACGTTTAGGGACTGAAGACATCAAGTAATGAAGTGTTTCAGGTGTATTTTTGTCCCATTCTTTCTGCAAACAAGTCTTAAGGTGTGCAACAGTACGGGGTCTTCGTTACCACATTTTGAGCTTCAAACTGCGCCACACATTCTCTATTGGATACAGGTCAGGACTGCAGGCAGGCCAGTTAAGTACCTGTATCGTTTTCCTTCACAGTCAGGACTATGTAATGTGTGCAGAATATGGTTTTGCATTGTCTTGTTGAAATATGCAACATTTCAATAATTTTCTCACGTATTTGATAGAAAATTGGCGATCCTCTGCCCATCTTTGCTCATAGATTTTAGCTCCAACCCTAATCAAACACACCTGAACAAGCTCAAGGTCTTACTAGGTATACTTCAAACACCCAGGCAGGTGCGTTGAGGCAAGTTGGAGCCAAACCCTGCAAAGACATCGTACCTCCAAGAACGAGATTGGTGACCCCTGGACTAGACCATTCTTGGTTGCTGCTTTTGTCATTATTTAACTAATTTACCTGATTACTAAACTGCTCCCGTTCCAACCAAGAACCAAAATTGAAATATGTGTTTATTTATTAAAAAAAATGTGTGTGTATATATATATATATATATATATATATATATATATATATATATATATATATATATATATATATATATATATATATATATATATATATATATATGTAATTAAGAACACATTAAATAATGTTTGTAAGTAAATTTAGGAATCATTATTTCCTTTTTTTATTCATGTTTTCCATACTGTCCCAACTTTTTGTGAATCGGGGTTGTACACAACAGCAATTAAATTGTAAAACCTTCATTTATTGATATTAAAATAGTGTGAGAAAGCAGTTTGCTTACATTTTTTTTCTCAACAGAAGTTTGTTTCTGTTTACAATAAGGAATGTGCAAATCTCTTTACAGAAAGGGATTGGATGCATCTAATTATAAAACACTACAATAATTATTAGCTTCACATTTGCTTACTACAACCAATGTAAACAAGGTGTGCCATGGTGCTCTAAAATAATAAACAAACATTATTCAAATTAACATTAACACCCAGTTCACTTTTTTCTGAAACATTTAAGTTTGTCTAATGTTTTTAAATGTTCATTCATAAAACCTTTAAAGGTTTAGCTCCAACTCTAATTAAACACACCTGAACAAGCTAATCAAGGCTTTACTAGGTATACTTGAAACATCCTGGCTGGTGTACTGAGGCAAGTTGGAGCAAAACCCTGCAGGGACACCGGCCCTCCTGGACCGAGATTGGTGACCCCTGGTCTAAGCCAATATGGCTGGGAATACACTGTAAACACGTTTTTTTAGACAAGTATTTTCTAGACAAGTAAAACATTTAGCATTGTTTTCAGAAAAATTTTGTCCTTAAAACAAGCAAAATAATCTGTCTAAAAGGTAAGCAAAATGATTTTATTTCAAATCCAATTCAAGATTATTTTGCTAACCCCATTTTTTGTGCAATGCTATTACGCAGCACCTGACAACAGCTCCATTCTCCAGCTAGATTGCCAGAATGAGAGAATAGTTCTCGTGTTGTTCTGTTTTGTCATTTTTAAGTTCCCATTTAATGCTAATGGTCTAATCTGATTCAATGACTTATGCAAAGCTAAGCTAAAAGTTCTTCCGCCAAACCTGGAAATCGACTTAATGGATTAAAAAATGGTAACTGTTTAACTCTAGGGGAGCTGTAAAATGAGACTATTTCCAAAATAAGTGGTGTGTTCCTTTAAGTGTATGATGGTCGGTACCTGGATCATGACAGGTTCAGTTGTTGGTCCCGCTGAGGTGAGATTCTCTATATTTCCGCTGCGCTCGTAGTTAAACTTTGTGCCACCAGCCTCGTACTCTCCATTCCACTGAATGATGTAATTCCCATTGAGGTAATATTCATCTGAATCAGACGCTCGCATCGCAAGGAAATTCCCAGCTTCTTCCACTTCCTGAATGTAGATATCCCGAGCTCCCGCCGGGATCAAAACCAGGTCCATGTACCCTAAATCACAGGGGTTTAACAAAAATTTAACCAGCCTCTAATGATAAAAATTAATGAATTATATTTTTTTTTAATTTACACTTTATAAACACAGTCTCCAAAACATTTTTTGCCTAAAAAGAGCAGTTTCAAAGAGTTTTAAAAAGTATTTGTGGGGTATTTTGAGATGAAACTTCACATATACACTACACTGTAGGGAACTCGAAGGTCATAAAAAGGTCATAATAGGCCCCCTTAAATAAAAGGTATTCTATAAAATAAATAAGGGATAATGTACATCCAGCCAGTTGTTCTTGCAGAGACAAACCCAACAAGTTTATCAGCTTGATTCTGTAAAAGCAACTGTCTAAATGCACATTGTGCTGTTTAATACAGGGATGCATGGTCAAGAAACTAGATAAATAGACACAAAACATTAATCTGAGTTGTAATAATTTACTAACTCTTTAATTAAATGTAAAGCTGGCAGAAATTAAAACGACTAGATGCTTTGTGTTTAATTAAAGAGCTAGTAAATGATTACAGCTCAGAATAATATTTATTATACTGTATACCAGGGGTCTCAAACTGAATTTACCTGGGGGCCGCAGGAGGCAAAGTCTGGGTGAGGCTGGGCCGCATAAGGGATTTCACAAAATAAAAGTCCTCAAATGTCATTATTAACAGTTTTAATTATTTCTTCTGAACATGAAGTGTCCTGAACATTAATAGAACATTGAGTGAAGATTATGAACAGTTCTTCTGAACATGGCATCTTTTGCCTACTTCTTGCTGCCAGAGACTTGACAGCGCTTATTCTCACAAATCTGAACCACATTTGGCTTTAGAGCGGAAGCAGTTGAGACCCTCAGTATGGCTTGAAGATGATCATCATTAAGTCTAGACCTGTACTTTGACTTATTGAAGTCCTAGGGAAAAAAGTGGGGGAACTCACTCAAAACTTCCATTCCCTCACCTAAAAAAGGCATATATATGTATAAATAAAACACCCCCACACCACTCCAGTCACATCAGTCTGTACCAGTCTGTATCTACCTATAATATCAACAGGGCAGGCACGTGCACACATAGGGCTCAACCTGTGCAGAGCACATGCCCTTTTTAGTCTTGCATAGAAAGTGCCCTTCCAAAATGATCAAAAGTGCCCCCGCGACGCGACACACCCTCGGTCCCGCCCTTCAGTAGGCGCGCGATAACACCGCTCTTGAGTACGCGCGCGACAACACAGCTGATCAGAACGCGCGCGACAATGCGCATTGAGTGACAAGCGCGCTGTGTACGGATAGAATCAGCGGAGCGGGGATCGCTCTCTCTCCCCGCTCCGCTGATTCTGTCAGAGTACAGCGGTCGGCGCGGGCCACAAAATATTGCACTGACGGCCACAAATGGCCCGCGGGCCGCGAGTTTAAGACCCCTGCTGTATACAGTATTCAATAATGGTTAGGATGAATCATAATAACTGGATTTGTCTATGTTATAAATTGCAGCAGTTGGACTGTTGTGTTTGATCAATCAATACTTATAATATTATATAATTAGTGCTGTCAAAAATCGGGGTATTGGTGTCCATGTAAATGTATCAGTGAAAGTGCCAGATGATGTTGCAAGCTGTCAGAGACAGTGCATTTCTCTGCCTTTAAGTTGATTCTATGCGCCCTCAAATGTTTCATTAAGTTTGACGCGTTTCCCCCTTACACGCAACTTTTTTTAAAGCATCTGCTTCATGTTTCTCAGTTGTCAGAATCCTTGTGAAATACAGCCATACCATACTAGACTAACGCTTAGTTTAAGCAAATTTGATGAACCCGATCGTACTTGTTGATGAATCGTAAGAGAGCCGCTCACTGGGTGTGTGCTGCGCTGTACTGCACGTGTTGTGTGTGTGCATGCATGCGTTTTTCTAGCAACAAGAACAAACCCCTAACATCGCCAACGGTGTCCGTATTCCTCAAAGTTGTTCGGAATGAAATGTTTAGAGATGGGGTGACTAAAGTCCCTGTAAGAAGTCTATAGTATTTGGTGTGACACAACGTGTGCGTGCCTTTAATGTAGGCCCACTCCTTGATGCTTTGTGCGTCCTTGTCACAGCACCAGTGGCACCAAAATTAGGCACCGAAATTCATGTGCTGATTCTGTGATTCTGCTTGAGACTGTTCTCAATCTCAGGTCACATCATTCAAAAGAAAAGATCCACATTGTCCCCACGATAATGTCATCAGACTAGACTGTCTTAGCAACTGTCTGAATATAAAGCAGGACTAAGTAAAATTGTTTCTACTTTATAATTATTGTTCTTAACTCTTAGTAATACAACTTTACAATGAGTGCAATTGTTTGTGTTCAATACTTTATTGTTATAATTTTCCAATTTCCATATTTGCAGTGCCTGTATTTTGGATTTTTTTGCAGTCCACTTAGAATCCAACTTGGAAATCATTTTTGTTTGTTATTGGCATTGATTGTTTTGAAATTCAAATGGCACTTACATGCCTTTGTTTTTATTTCTGTAATAAATATGGCTGTCAAGCCAAAAGTTTGAGGATCTTGATAGTATATTGTGGGTATGTTATTTACATAAATCTGGGTTACAAGTTAAACAAAAATTCTAATAAACAATTATATTTACTTTAGTTCACATTAATTTTACATTTGAATAGCCAAAATTACAAGTTTCAGTCTTTTAAGTGCGGTTAAAAAAATGAACTAATTAATCGATTAACAGCACTATATATAATATAATATGACATAACATAACATAACATAACACAATATAATATAATATAGTATAATATAATATAATATAACAAAATATAATATAATATAATATAACATAACATAACACAATATAATATAATATAATATAACATAACATAACATGATATAACAAAATATAATTTAATATAATATAATATAACATAACAAAATATAATATAATATAATATAATGTAATATAACAAAATATAATTTAATTTAATTTAATATAATATAATGTAATATAACAAAATATAATTTAATGTAATATAATATAATATAATATAATATAATATAATAAAACAAAATATAATATAATCTAAAATAATTTAATATAATATAATAAATATAATATAATATAATATAATAAATATAATAAAACAAAATATAATATAATATAATATAATTTAATATAATATAATAAATATAATATAATATAATAAAACAAAATATAATATAATATAATATAATATAATATAATAAAACAAAATATAATATAATATAATATAACAAAATATAATATAATATAAGATAATGTAATGTAATATAATATAATATAAGATAATATAATGTAATATAACAAAATATAATTTAATTTAATATAATATAATATAATGTAATATAACAAAATATAATTTAATTTAATTTAATATAATATAATATAATATAATAAAACAAAATATAATATAATATAAAATAATTTAATATAATATAATAAATATAATATAATATAATATAATATAATATAATATAATATAATATAATATAATATAATAAATATAATAAAACAAAATATAATAAATATAATAAATATAATATAATATAATATATAATAATGTAATATAATATAATATAACAAAATATAATATAATATAATATAATATAATATAATATAATATAATATAATATAATATAATATAATATAATATAATATAATATAATATTTTGCTCTTACAAAATAAAGCCTGACAGGCCATATGCAAAGCGAAGGAGTACCAAATAGCTAGGTGTATCTAAAATAAATTGTCTGCTGAGTGTATATCCTACTATATTAATAAAGTCAGGTGTGCAACTAACCAAATCCATCTTGCTCCACAAAGTTTTCCTTCACCGTCTCACAAGTGGATCCATCACCAAGACAAACACCACAGCTGTCCTCTTTAGCGTTAGAATTAATGCCAAAATCACATCCCACCTCCTGCAGAGAGATGACACAAAACATCAGATATATATTATAGATGAGTTATTAAAACCATTATGTTTATAAAAGTGTTGAAAAAAATCTGCTCTCGGTTAAACAGAAAACGGGGAAAAAATAAACAGGGGGGCTAATAATTCAAGGGCGGTAATAATTCTGACTTCAGCTGTACATACTGTAGATACTTGTCCTACTTACTTTTACTAAACAGACAAAACAATACACTAACACACACAAAAGCACAAATGGGTTGAAAGTAAGACATACCCAGCCACACTACCTTGCACACACCATTGACACAGATGTTCCTGCTGTTGTTGTTCATAAAGCAGGGCGTTCCATCTGTAACCGCATCCAACATCTTCTCAGAAAAGTTTTCATCCACAGGTTTGCAGTGAAGCTCGCAAGGACGCGCTGAGAGAGAGAGACAGAAAAAAGAGAAAAGGACAGACAGGCAAATAAGAGGTGCTATTTACTATTTGATATAATGTTTTACTATGATAAGATGTGTAAAATACTTTATACTTTTGTAATTAATAGATTTTATATCATGGAGTGTACAAAAAAGTACCATTGTTTAACCTAGAGCTGTGTACACTCAAGTTTTGAACATTGATAATATGCTAGTTTTACAACTTCACTAGAAATAAACAGCTGAGATTCACAATTTTTGTTTTCTGTTTAATCAATTTCCAGGTCTGGCAGAGGCACTTTTAGCTTAGCTTAGCATAAATAATTGAATCGGATTAGACCATTAGCATCTCGCTCAAAAATGACTAAAGAGTTTGGGTAATTTTCCCATTTTAACGCTTGTCTCTTCTGTAGTTAACATGACAGACTAAGACTGACAGAAAATAAAAAGTTAGTATTTTCTGGGTCTATAGGAACTATACTCTCATTCTGCCATAAAAATCAAGGAACTTTTTTGTTGTGACTTGGAGATGGGGGAATGTTGTTAAAACTCTGGGGTTCCTTAAAAGTTTTAAGTGAAATTTCTTTTTATTAAACATACAAAAGGTTTCATATGCTCACCCGAGCTGCAAATATTTAACTAAAAATACAGTACTTTAGTGAAATATTCTTACAATTTAAAATATTTCTTTCCCGTTTGAATGTATTTTAAATGTAGTAAATATTTTGCAATTGTCAGCATTATTAGTTCAGTCTTCAGTGTCATATGATCCTTCATAAATAATTTTAATATGCGGATTTGCTGCATCAGACAATATATTATTATCATCAATTTTAAAACCCCAAAACTGGCATTTATAGATGAATTAAAAGTTCCAATTCAATAGATTTTTCAGGATATACAATTATTTTGTAACTATATAAATTCAAAGCAAATAAGAACATTTCAAGCATAAAAACTTTATATTTGACATTGACAATATGACCTTTATAGCCTTTCCTATAACCTTTATATAATTCTTTTCTGGGGACATTTGACAATAATGTACATTAACACATTTAAAAAAATAAATGTTTCGTTTAAAAATCACAGTGAAATTAAACAATATTTCAACCATTTTTGACCATATTTATATTACAAAAGCTATTTCAGACTATTTAGCTTGCATTCAGTATACAACTTTACATTTAATTTAATACATATTTTGCTAAATATGTTGTGTATTAATGTCTTTCTTTACTGTCATTTTAGATCATGCATTTAAATGTTATGCATTATTGCTGAATAAAAGCATTATTTTAAATATATAGAGTATAGAGAATATAGAATGCAAGTACTAAACACGTCATGTTTTTTCTGGAAATAATATCTCTAAAGGAGCTGTTGACATGGAAATGAACCAGATTATGGTAAAAACTCAAACAATACAACTATAAAAATTAAACAAAACAAATTTTAAAAATGAGTCATATGTAAACAACTATAAAATCACACAAGGAGAAAGTACTGAACTACTGAAACGTTTCTAATACTTTTTATACAATTTTTTTTATTTTTTATTTTTTGGTGCTGGCAGTTAAAGAAGCCTCTCATGTGGAGAATGAAGTCCCATGCATTGCTCAGATGTGAGTTTTTCCACAGACTACAACAGAGTGTAAAAATCTTATGTGGGTCTTGTCTATTAAATCTGATCTTTACTTTGTATTTTCTATTGGATTTAGATCAGGTGATTGGCTGGGCCATTCTACAGCTTGATTTTCTTTCTCTTAAAGCATTTTTGAATTACCTTGGCTATGTTTTGGATCATTGTCTTGCTGAAATGTCCACCCTGGTTTCATTTTCATCCTCCTGCTAGTGTAGATGTTGGACTGAAGCAGCTGATATTCATTTACACAAGGCAGAGGATTGCTGAAGAACTACTGAGAGATTCGAGCTGCTGTCTGGGCTTTCACTGCCTTTTTACACCTCCATTTCTTCATGTGTTCAATGCTTTCCCTGAGTCATTTCATTTTAATACACATAACTTCATTTGTAAACTAATTAGATTTCTTTTCTGTGCATATATAGATTTCTTTGGTTGTTACTAATATCCGAGGAAAATTTGCTGATGTGTTCAATACTTATTTATATTTCAAAAGTCGTGAGGATATAGATATTCTTCATTGTAGTATTGCTGTTAATCAGTAACCAAAATCAGACGCAGAAAAATCCCATAGTCTCATTCATTCAGACTTTTTCTTTTCGGCTAAGTCTTTTTATTCATTAGGGGTCGCCACAGCGGAATGAACCGCCAACTTATCCAGCATGTTTTACGCAGCGGATGCCCTTCCAGCTGCAACCCCCACATTCACCATGGCCAATATAGTTTATTCAATTCACCTATAGCGCATGTTTTTGGACTGTAGGGGAAACCGGAGCACCCGGAGGAAACCCACGCCAACACAAGGAGAACAAGCAAACTCCACACAGAAATGCCAACTGACCCAGCCAGGGCTCGAACCAGCGACCTTCTTGCTGTGAGGCGATAGTGCTACCCGTTGCGCTGCCTCCGATAAAGTCTACAAATCATTAATTAATACTATTAAAATACAAGTATTAAAGTGTCTTTAGGCTGTAATGATCTACGATCCAAAAACTGAGCAAACAACAGTGACTCAACAACACTTGTGTCAGGAATCCACATGCTTTCTAAAGCTGGCTAATAAAAAAAGTGTGCATTCTTGAATGTGAACCAGCAAAAGTCTGTAAAATGGAAAGCAGCCACGTGTAAGAAGTTTTATGTTAATGTCGACCCGCCGCAGTGTGCATTATTGCAGTTTCTTGGCTCGGCTGTTCAGTTGTAGAGAGCATGTGTTTTCAGTTCTCAAGTTCAGGGCAACTAATGTTCTTAAGCTTGTCGTGTTTATTCTAATGGTTATTGAGGAAAATATAATCAACTGGAGTGACATGGTGACTCAGTGGTTAGCACTGTCGCCTCACAGCAAGAAGATCGCTAGTTCCCGACTGGGTCTGTTGGCATTTTTTTGTGGTAGTTTGCATGTTCTCCTCGTGTTGGCGTGGGTTTTTGCCATGTTTTCCGGTTTCCCCCACAGTCCAAACACATGCACTATAGGCAGGGCCAGATTAACGTAAGGGATAGGTGGGGCTGGAGCCCCAAGACCCACGGAGGAAGGGAGCCCTTGATTGGCTGATGAATTGATTTGCGTTATGACGCGGGAAACGCCTCTTTGCGTTATGCTTTCTCTCGTCGATAATGTGAAGTATTCCTTTCGGTTGGCTGCTGTTTAAAAACAGTGACGCTGGTGCTAAACTGGGGCTCAGAGTGGCTGTAGCACAATCAGAATATTGAATAGCCCTGTTTTAGTCACCCATAAGGGTGATCAGTTGTCCTAACAGTCCAAGGACAGACTGTTATTTCAGCGAGAGCCGTCCAGTCAAATGTAAGCTAACCAAGCTCATCTTCATCATTGATACACTTGTATATGTGGTAACAGGAGCTGGGATAGGCAGAATCAAGCCTCGTTTATACTTCTGCGTCAAGTGACCGGCGTGACCCACGGCGCATGCAACGCGCATGGCTGTGCATTTATACTTGTGCGCGCTGTCTCTGTTGGTCTGCATTAACACTTCCGAAACGCTAGTTGGCAGTGAAGTGTAAATTTTCCTCTGTGTCGAGTTTCTTCGCTGCTTTTTTGCTTTTCCTGAACACGTCCTGGATGTACAAGTGGCTCAAACTCGCTCATTTTGAGGCAGGAACCGACGGACGAGCAACAACTTTAACTATGGGGTAAACACAAAGCAAAACTTCACAGCCTTCACGGCACTCCACACTTGTAAACAATCGCTCCATTGGGCTCGCGTCCAGCTCGCGCCATTCGCGCCTCTTGGTCCCGCCCAGACTCGTCAGCGCTACTAAGCCGACCAATCACAGAGCTTGCGCTACGCGTCGTTGCGACGTGTAGTTACAATTTTTGAGAGGTGCACGTCAGCGAAGGCCACGGCGAAGGGCTATGCGTCAGCGCCGTAGCATATGCCGGCGTTTGACGCAAAAGTATAAATCAGCCTTCAGCCGTGCATCGGTTACAGCTGGACCGAAACGGTGCGCACCAGCACAATCCTTTTAACACACAATATAACCGAGACAGTGTGCGAACAAATCAAATAGCTTACACAAGCAGTTATCAATATATTTATCGTTGTGGAGTATACCTCAAGTAAATACACTCGGCTCTGCTTTACAGTAAGTCTAACTAAATCAGTTACAAAGCAAACTTTATGAATGTTTACTTTGCCCCTTTTGTAAAATTGACAATAATGATATGGAGCAATGAAATATTGGCGCTGGCTTTCATCAGACAATATATCTGATGCAAAAACTAAATAAATAAATAAATAAATAAATAAAATAAAGATGCTAGCCTTCTGCAACTCAGAAGACCACAGTAAACTATTTTGATATTATATCATTGGGGATTTAGGATCAGCTAAAACTCAAAAAAAAATTTTAAAGGTAAACCCCAATTCAATGCATTTATTCTAAAGCACTTGTTTAGGAAGTATTGCAAATGTTTTTTTGTTTTGTTGATTTTTGCAGCCTGTTTGAACTTTAAAGTACATATTAAGTCATTACTTAATTTTGTGAACTTGTATGAAAAAGCTCACACATGATACCAGAAGACAAGCTAATCAAATACAAAATGAGGGGGGAAATGCAAAAAAAGTCCCCTTTAAGAAAAAAAGACCCCCCCCCCCAACCCTTCCCTAGGCTGCCTACAAGCCTGGAATGTGAGAGTGTATGAGTATTTCCCAGTACTGGGTTGCAGCTGGAAGGGCATCTGCTATGTAAAACATATGCCGGAATAGTTGGCGGTTCATTCCGTTGTGGCGACCCCTGATAAATAAGCGACTAACCCGAAATAAAATGAATGAATGAATGAATATTGATGCAAAGAGATCTTACAAGGGCTTGAAACAGGAATCCACTGGTAGAGTTCATTGTGATACGGCACGGTGTTGAATTCACTGCACTGCATCTCTCTAAAGCTGGGATGTTTTCTGACACACAGCTTTGTGTTGCAAACACGGTAGCGCTTCCGCTCTCCTGTGCAATACTTCCCACCAAACTCAGGCCTGTGTGAACAGGAGAAACAGAAAACATGCTTTAGATCATCTGTTCAGCAAAACAACGTATCAAAAAAGTAGAAAAAGACGTAAAATGGATATTTAAGACTTAAGAAATAGTGTGATATTTACAAATTTGGTCAAATATGACAGCACTGGTAACTGCAGACCAAACAGGAAATGTTTAGTTAAAGCTACAAGAGAGCCCTCTAGTGCATTATACTGGTAGTGCAGAAAATGGGCTGATATATAGGAATAATAGTTGAATATTAGCATATTCGTTTTAATGCAGCATGCATATATTTTCTTTTCTCACCTCTTTAAAGCTGCTTTGGATCAATAGTTATTGTAAAGACAACTATTTAAACAAATTTGATTTAATTTTCTGCATTTACAGAACTAAATATGACCTGAACCTGAAAAATGGTTTAAAATCAATATAACAAGCATAAGAAACAGAACTGGCGATGCAGTGGCGCAGTAGGTAAAAGAAGGTCGCTAGTTCGAGCCTCGACTGGGTCAGTTGGCATTTCTGTGTGGAGTTTGCATGTTCTCCCTGTGTGTTCAGGGTTTCCTCCGGGGGATCCGGGTTCCCCCACAGTCCAAAGACATGCGCTATAGGTGAACTGGGCAGGCTAAGTTGTTCATAGGACGAAGCAGTGGCGCAGTAGGTAGTGCTGTTGCCTCACAGCAAAAAGGTCACTGGTTCGAGCCTCTGCTCAGTTGGTGCTTCTGTGTGGAGTTTGCATGTTTTTCCTGCACTCGCCTGGGTTTCCTCCGGGTGCTCCGGTTTCCCCCACAGTCCAAAGACATGCGGTGAATTGGGTAAGCTAAATTGTCCATAGTGCATGAGTGTGTGTGTGAATGTGTGTGTGGATGTGTGGCTGGACGGGCATCCGCTGCATAAAAATGTGCTGGATAAGTTGGTGGTTCATTCCGCTGTGGGGACCCCGCATTGTCAATAGTGTATGAGTGTGAATGAGTGTGTATGGATGTTTCCCAGAGATGGGTTGCAACTGGAAAAGCATCAGCTGCGTAAAACATATGCTGGATAAGTTAGCGGTTCATTCCACTTTGGTGACCCTAGATTAATAAAGGCACTAAGCCGAAAAGAAAAAGATTGAATGAATGAAGGCACAGAACACTGCATGTATCCCACAATGGTTTCAATTTTCCTTCGTAGGTAATTAGTTTTTTATTAAAAAAAAAAATGCAATGGGTTTCAAAACTATAATATTCTATATTGTTGTTGTTACAAACCTGATACACTGTTTATTATGTATAACAATATACACTCACCAGCCAATTTATTAGCTACACCTTAATAGTATTGTATTGGACCCCTTTTTCCTTCAGAACTGCTTTAATCACTTGTGGCATAGGTACAAAAAGTTACTGGAAAATTCCTCAGACATTTTGCTCCATATTGACATGATAGCATCACACAGTTGCTGCAGATTTGTCGGCTGCACATACATGATGTGAATCTACTGTTCCACCACATCACAAAGGTGCTCTACTGGATTGAGTTCTGGTGACTGTGGAGGCCATTTGAGTACAGTGAACTCATTGTCGTGTTCAAGAAAGCAGTCTGAGATGATTTGCACTTTATGACATGGTGCATTATCCTGCTGGAAGAAGCCATCAGAAGATGAGTACACTGTGGCCATAAAGAGATGGACATGGTCAGCAACAATACTCAGATAGGCTGTGGCGTTGACACAATGCTCAATTGGTACTAATGGGTCCAAAGTGTGCCAAGAAAATATCCCCCACACCATTACACCACCACCACCAGCCTGAACCGTTGATACAAGGCAGGATGGATCCATGCTTTCATGTTGTTGATGCCAAATTCTGACTCGACCATCTAATGTCACAGCAGAAATGGAGACTCATCAGACCAGGCAATGTTTCTCCAATCTTCTATTGTCCAATTTTGGTGAGTCTGTGTGAATTGTAGCCTCAGTTTTCTGTTCTTAGCTGACAGGAGTGGCACCTGGTGTGGTCTTCTGCTGCTGTAGCCCATCCACCTCAAGGTTGGACGTGTTGTGTGTTCAGAGATGCTCTTCTGGTTGTAACGAGTGGTTATTTGAGTTACTGTTGCCTTTCTATTAGCTGGAACCAGTCTGGCCATTCTCCTCTGACCTCTGGCATCAACCAGATATTTGCGCCGACAGAACAGCCGCTCACTGGATATTTTCTCTTTTTCATACCATTCTCTGTAAACCCTAGAGATGGTTGTGCGTAAAAATCCCAGTAGATCACCAGTTTCTGAAATACTTAGACCAGCCTGTCTGGCACCAACAACTATGCCACATTCAAAGTCACTTAAATCCCCTTTCTTTCTCGTTTTGATGCTCAGTTTGAACTTGCGTTAAACAGCAGTTGGACAGCTGACCCTAACAAATGGCCGGTGAGTGTTTTATAATTGTTATCAGTTCAAATTGTTACCAGCTTTAAAAGGTAAATGAAATGTTGCATTTTAATCTTTTATTAACATGCATGTAAAATCTTTAAAAATATGATTTATGTGCATTTTAGCTCATAAAATGGCCATTGAATTCATAAGCTCAAAAGCAAAGACATAAGATTTGACAGAATAGACTTGTGAACGAATGTTGAACACAAAGGAAGACACATTGAAGAATGTTGGGGAATAAAACTGCAGTTGACTTCCATAGTATTTTTCTACTATAGATGTCAATGGCCTCCTTTCTCCAACATTCGAACGTGGTTGAGAAACCCTGCTTTAACACCAAGTGAAGGACTATAAAGAAAACAAAAATGACAAAAAATACTAAGACATGAATGAATAAAAGAAAAGCACTGAGGAATAACTGTACTTAGGCTGGTTGCATTCCCTGTCTGCCGTCTGAACTCCGGCTCCACAGGTGCGAGAACAGTGAGACCAGGAGCTCCAGGGACCCCAGCCTCCATGCACGGTTTCCGGTAACTTCCCCACGATCACACACTCACCAGAGATACACCACTGACACACAGATACACAGTCAAAGGGTTATTAATTACTCCAGAGACATTCGGTCATCTTCAGAACACAAATTAAGATATTTAAGATCAGCATAGGGCAGCAAGGTGGCACTGTGTGTAGCACAGTCACCTCACAGCAAGAAGTTCGCTGGTTCGCTCCCAGCCTGAGTCAGTTGGCATTTCTGTGTGGAGTTTGCATGTTCTCCCCGTGTTGGCGTGGGTTTCCTCCGGGTGCTCCGGTTTCCCCCACAAGTCCGAAGACATGCGCTATAGGTGAATTGGGTAAGCTAAATTGTCCGTAGTGTATGTGTGTGAATGAGTGTGCATGGATGTTTCCCAGTGATGGGTCGCAGATGGAAGAGCATCAGCAGCGTAAAACATATGCTGGATAGGTTGGCGGTTCATTCCACTGTGGCAACCCCAGATTAATAAAGGAACTAAGTCGAAAAGAAAATGAATGAATGAAGGATCAGCGTATGATATGTGTACATATTTAAACTCTGCTGAAGTCCAGCAGTACTAGGACTAAATACCACAAGGTCATCTATTTAGTTACAGAATATTCGTTTTAGGGTGAAGTAACCCTTTAAAGATATAAGAACAGAACAAATACTATGTGCTTCTTTCTAATTGTGTATCTCTCCTACCTTTTCAGGTCCACACCTGGTTCCGTCGATCGGTGAGTCTAGTTTAGAGCGGCACGATCCATTTACTGAGCACCACAGAATCTGACACACATTCTGCAAACAGCAGAGGCTGAATTAATAAAGATCTCCTTTTGTTAATCCAGACAAGAAAATATGTTATACTTTAGATACAAATCAAAGCAATCTTCCTGAATGAATATGAGTTGAACTCTAACAGAACATTTCTCTACTAAAGCATGAAATATTTTCAGATCACAGGCAAATAGAAAAAAAAGTCCACATGAAATTAACACTTTGTTTGCGTTTTCTTAAAATTGAATTTTTGGAAATGTACCAAACTACCAAATTATCCCTAAAAATGTCAAATGTAAAAGCAGGGTTTACCTAAAAATGAAAAATTCTGTCATTTACTCACTTTTTTCAATATATTTTTTTTGTTTTGAAGAACACAAAAGTATTTTATACAATGTTGGCAACTGCACTGTTTAAAGGTGCTGTATGTAAGTTTTTGACTCTTCTAAAGTATAAAAATACCATAATATGTTTGCAGATATTCAATGGAAATATATGGAAAACATGCATTTCATTCATTCATTCATTCAGGAAGGCTCTCAGAGCATGCATATGTGACTAAAACGCGACTGAAATGCGACCTCTGGTGGACAGTAGCAGACTAAATGTGACGAGTGTAAACTTTAGGTGAGCAGGTTACATTGTAACTGCATGTGCTCACAACACACTACGTGATTAGATACACAGTGATAAGCAATGTGGCTGTTTGCACCAGACGAAACACAACAGAAATTTGAATGCAGCCATTTACAAGCACAGAACAGTGCGCTCACTGCACCTCAACGAAATGGTAATGTTTATAATCTAATTAATACATATTAACCCTCTTTAGCATTATTAAATGTACTTGCCGGCAGATAGCTCTCTCAACTCTCACATGGTCGCCCACTGAAGCTAAGCAGGGCTGCGCCTGGTCAGTACCTGGATGGGAGACCACATGGGAAGGCTAGGTTGCTGCCATAAGTGGTGTTAGTGAGGTCAGCAGGGGGGGCCCAACCTGTGGCCTGAGTGGGTCCTAATGCTCTAGTATAGTGAAGGGGACTGCTCAGTGAGCACCGTCTTTCGGATGACTCGTTAAAAATCCCAGGATGTCCTTCGAAAAAAGTAGGGGTTTAACCTCGAGATCCTGGCCAAATTTGCCCAGTGGCCTCTGTCCATTGATGCAGTGAAGCAGTAGGTAGTGCTGTCGCCTTACAGCAAGAAGGTCACTGGGTCGATGGTTCACTGTGTAAAAATGTGCAGGATAAGTTGATGGTTCATTCTGCTGTGGCGACCCCGGACTAATAAAGGGACTTAGCCGACAAGGAAATGAATGAATGACTCTGTCTCCTCTCCACCAATCAGCTGGTTTGTGGTGTGTGGTCTGGCACAATATGGCTGCCATCGCATCATCCAGATGGATCCATCCCAATGTGTAAAGCGCTTTGAGTGCCCAGAAAAAGCACTTTATAAATGTAAGAAATTATTATCATAATTATTATGCTGAATCACTGATATGTGTTGGCTTACAGTGAAATTCCATTTCAATTGGTTTATTTTATTCACAAGATTCGAGGTGAACTATTTGCTGCTGCTTTCAGTAGTATGGCAATAAATGCGATGTAAAATGCCATTCAAACTCACATTGTTAGCATTTAACACTGAATTAAGCACATGAGCTGTACCTGAGGTGATCATTGTATGATGTGGCAACCTGCTTTTGAACCAGGGGTGCAATGCCTAGTTCTACCACTGGGTGTTAAACTTACATACTGCACCTTTAAGAGCAAACGGTAAATATCTTTTAATTAATTAAAATTAAAAAGTTAGTGCAATTATAATAAATAAAGAAATAGTGGTCATTGTAGCCTAAACGTTGTAATAAATTCAATGTTTAAATCAAAATATTTTGTCTAGCCCTACTTTTTTGTAAATATCTACTTGATGCTTTTTGCATTTAACACAATTAATACATTTTTTGGTGGTCATTTCTCAATCAATATTAATATGCAGTTATATAGATTTTAGTTAGATAAATTCATTCCACTGTGGTGACCCCTGATAAATCAGGGACTAAGCCGAAATTAAATGAATAAATGAGCAATTAATTATTCGCTACACTGCGTAGTTAATTTGATTACAATAATGTAATGTAAATTCTATTTATGGTGTTTTTTTGTATTAAATGCACTACTCACCTCAACTTCTGAGCAGAAGGTGGCGTTAGGGCCGTACTGCAGTTGGCACTGGTGCTGCGGTGTGTATCTCACTCCTGGAGCTGCTCCCGGGGTGCTCAGGTCTCTCTTAGAAGGACGGTCATCCAGACAGAAACCCCAGCCACGACTGACAACACAACAGGAAGATGATAATTTATAAACCAAGATCCTTGTCTGAAAAACTCCCAATCAATCAGTTGAAAATACTTTATTTACTGATTAATTTGATCTATCCTTACTAGTGTTGACTACTGGTTAGTTTTAGTTCTATGTGTTAGTATCAGGGTGCGAACTATCCATTGGCGATTGGGGGGGTCAAGCGTTACGGTTACGTTCGGTAATACGCCTCAGTGTACCAAAGTTATACATTTATTTCAATTACGTCTAAATGATTAGTCAAAGTTTTGTTTTCAGTGTTTTGAGGGACATTTAGTGGTCCTCAGTGACATTTGTGATATTAAATAAATGGTGCCAGGTTTGCATTTCTGCACCTATTAATGAATGACAATGAAAAATGTATTCCATGTGTGAGCAAGTGTGTATTAAAATACAAACTATGCATCTAGTTTTACAGATACCTATACAGTACTAATGCCTATTTTACAGGAAACAGTTTTGTGAACACCTACACAGTCTGTTGGTGCTCTAGAGTTGCGGTTTCAAACTAGTAAACATGGCGCAACCAAGCATTCACAATGGTATGAACCATTATAGTGGTGGTTAAATGTATGTTTACATTATCCATTATTTTAATTAGTAATATTATTTAAAATACAAACCAAATAAAACGATTTCCTTACTATTAAAGGAAAAACAAGCAAAATATAGCTGCAAACTATACTTTTTATTTAACAAAACATTTCTTTAACAGTTGACACCAGTTAACTACACAGAAATGGGAAGTTAATATCCTATATCCTGTTTAAATAATGGTTAAAGCGAAAGCAACCGGTGCTGCTTACAAAAAGACCAATCTGGAGCTCTTGAAAGCAGCAGGACTGTGGGAGCATGAACACCTTTTTTGTCTGGTCTATTTAAAAGAGAAGCAATCAGTTGCGTTTCCAGGCACGGTTGTTCCAATCAAGAAAACGGGAGCGCGCACATGTTTTAAACAATCCTCTCATTCGGTATTCAACCGGCTTTCTTTTGCCAGCACGAACAAAATTATATTTGTCAGTCCTGCTGTTTTTCGATGTTAAGATTCGCATTTGCACGAATATTGGGCCATCCTTATTGTCGAACCCTGCTTTTAAGAAAACTACAATTTAAAAGTAATTTTCAACCAGCCAAAGTGGCTAGTGGAGGTGGCTGTCTAACCCGCCACAGCTAAAATCTACCTGCGTTTGGCAGTTTGGTGGGTGTTAATGTAAAGCCATGGTTATATCCTTAAACCTACCCCTGATAGTACTTATGGAATCCAAATATACAGTGTTTATTTTGCTAGCGCACATTGTTATTCCTAAGGTGAATAATTAATCTTTACAAGTTACTCAACTGGTACATAATATTCTTAACCACGGCCCTCTTACAGTTGCAAAAAGAAAGCCCCGCCTCAACTCAATATTCAGTTTCATTTGTAAGTACATCAACATATTATAATAAAAGTCTCAGCAACGTCCAATTCACGCAGACTTTAAAGGGCACCTATGGTGAAAAATCTACTTTTCAAGCTGTTTGGACAGATGTGTGTAAGTATAATGTATAGACCGTCATATTGGGGTGATATAAACACACACAGTCCTTTTATTTCAATTTACAACATAAAAACAGTGGACCAATTGGAGCGGTTTTTAGATCGACCGCAACTTGACGTAGGAGTGCGGTCCTCTTGCCCACCAATATTGATTGACAGGCACGCATCACCATATCCTCGGTTTGTTGTTTCACATCTGCCATTTTCAGTGTGTGAGTCAAAGCGATGTCACTAGAGGAACACTCTTGCTCAGGGGCGGACTGGGACTAAAAATCAGCCCTGGCACTGTAGCCACAACAGCCCACATTACCACACAGACACAGCCCCACCCACGGACACTCACATTCAATACTAATATTGGTATACAGATGGTAAAGTTACATAAGCAGTACCATATTTAAGAGATATTACATATGAAAAAATAAATAAATAAATAGCTGACCGGCCCACATTTAAAAATGGTCCGGCCTTTCTGGCATTTGCCAGAATTGCCAGATGGCCAGTCCGCCCCTGCTCTTGCTCTATTTTTAGATGCAAGGCTCATTGGGCTCAACACAAGATCAACATTCACCACATGATCGCTCTAATCGGAATTATTGTTTGTAACTTAGTGTGTTTGTAGGTAGGTTTGCAAACTAGTGTACTTTTCATTGCGTCTACCTTAAAACGTTTGCATTTCTCGCGGTCACAGAAGCTCCCTGTGAGTGTGATCTGATCTGTGAAGCTGAAAGTGCGAGCGCCTTTGCCTCACGTGAGTGTCGCTCCATTGGAAATAAAATAACAAACTTGCCTGCAGGTCGCACACCATAAGCGCCACGCAGCTCCATGCATTTTAGAGTTCTAAACATAGGTTTCTATCAGGGTACACACAATGGCGCTTAAAGTCGGTGGCTGTCCGCAGCACCCAGATTTGATTCGGGACACTTCATGTTTCAGCCGCGCCACAGAGCTCCACCTGAATAGTTTCATTTTAAATAACATGCGAATGTGCGTGTCTGGTGTGCCGTGTCGCGGCTCTAAGCGGGTCATTCATGTGCCTCAGTCAAAGGTAATTCATAGTGTGTGGTTATTAGTCTCGATGTAAAAGCTCGGAACTTGAAACTAGCACACAGTTGGCTGTAAAACTATACAAACACAAATAATTGTGCACTCTCTGCTTGGTCTGTGTCCGAGGCGTACATGTACGGCGGAATGCTGATCCTCTCACTCACGCTGCTTCTCTCTGTCTGCCTGTCTGTTGCCAAACACAGAGCGGGGGAGCTCTCGGCTCCGCCCTCTTGTTACGTTGGGCGGGAATTTAAAACTAATTTTCATGTGAAGCAACACACGCCTAAAACAGCGAGCTGTGTACACACCCCCAAAATGACACATTTGAACACATTTTAATAAACAAATCTGAATTGTGTTTTGAACTGAACCTAAACTGGCACACTCAGAAGAACCATAATATTAATATTAAATCATAAAAAGGGGTAAACTATGTGACCTTTAACAAACTTAACTCTTTCATGACTTAATATAACCCATTAATAAATTAGGCAGACACACTGTTAGTGCAACTTAAGAACACATACTGTACTGTTAATGACATGTTGGTGTACATGAGAGTGTGTTCTCACTCCAGAAAGCGTGTGATGTACTCTTTACTGCAGGATGACCAGGTGAGAGGAGAGGAGTCATATTGGAGCTGCCGGGACATGATGAAGGGCTGTTTGCCCACAAACTCACAGTCGTTGCCCTGACCGTCATGCTGGATGCCAAAACTACAACACAAAAAACACTTCTCCTTTTAGACATTCACTGCTATTCAGAGATTTACGGAGGGTGAAACTATCTTTAAAAAATATCTACATTTCTGTACGTTCATAATCAGCCGATTACACTATGTATTTCACACGACATGTACTTATGTAATGTGAAGGGGATGCTGACAACAGGGTGCGTATATAACTTCGTTTTTTTTATATATATTTATGGATATTTGCTGGAAATCAGAAATTAATTTTGAAATAGTTTTGAAACAAATCTTTGTGCTTAACGAAATTATGTAGGCTAATGGATGTCTTCAGTGGAGTGAGTACAACACCTTTCCTTACTTCACGAAAGTAAAAGAGTGAAGTAAAGAGAAAGAGGCCGAATGGAGGAGGCTCATTCTTTATCCTTGCACTGTAAATGCTCTGTTTAACTGTTTTCTCGCGAGTGAAGCATCCGTTTTTCCACGTACAAAGTCTGCCATGTAAATAGCAAACGCGCCATGGCATGACTCAACTGACTCTTAAAGTGAATGGGAGATGAGACTGTGACTGGTTTAATGCAGGAAATGCTCAAAAGTATATTTTTCCATCCTTAAAATAGTAAAAGTGGATTTGGCCATGCCCTTAATGCTTTTGAGCCATGCTCTTTAAGCTGCAGTCATACTAGAGTTTGTGCGTGTGAAATTCTGTCGTAGGGGGCTGCGAAAAGGGGCGGCATTAAACAAGATGATTAGACATTAAAAAAAGCGAGCGACTAGTCCATATTTAAAATATCTGTCCAGAGAGGTAATTTCGCAGGTAAGAGTTCACTAAACTTGAACTTTGCAATGCAAAACAAAATTTGTTGCGTGACCATAAGTTTCCGGTCTGACGCATTCGCGTGCATATGAATGGAAGTCTATAGGGAGAAAAATCCAGTGTGACCGCAGCTTCAGAATTAGATCGTATAGATCGCATAGATCGTGAAAAATGGAGCCAAATAGTTTTAACAACTCATTTCTAATAACTGATTTATTTTATCTTTGCCATGATGACAGTAAATAAATAATATTTTAGACACTTCTGTACAGCTAAAAGTGACATTGAAAGGCTTAAATGGGTCAATTAGCATAATTATGCCATTCATTGTATGGCGATGGCTTGTTCTGTAGACAATTGATAAAAATATAGTTAAAAGGGGCTAATAATTTTGACCTTAAAATTATTTTAATAACTTAAAAAACACTTTTATTCTAGCCAAAATAAAACAAATACGACTTTCTTCAGAAGAAAATTTTTAATTTAATAGTTATGTCGTCACTGGCTTGCACAAGCTCACCTGTGTCCGAGCTCATGAGCGATGGTAAACGCCACAGGAAGCCCCGAGTCCTCATTGATATTGCAGGATCGATGCGGCTGACACATGCCTGACAGGTGAGATAAACCCAGAGTCTCGCACGGCTGATTCATGCCAGCGCAGACATCCTTCCTGAAAACACAAATCACCTCAGGTCAGACGCAGCGTTCATTCCCTTTACAGGCCACTAAAGTCACGCTGCAGGGAGAAACAAGAGTTAAGTATTCTTTGTCATTTACTGTATGTAAAAACTGGCACAGATTTCTTGTGTTTTGGCTGTGTTCGGCATGCAGGAGCTCTGGGGAATCTCAGAAACAAGCTTGGAGGATCGAACATGATGAGATCATTCAGTATGGAGCTTTTTATGAGTTTATAGCTTATAGTTTATAAACAAGAGTGAGGGAGTTTATCTGTACGCCTGATCATGGAACTTTATGTAATATTAATAATATTATTGTGTTTAAATAAGCAGCTGTAGGCTGCACGGTGGCGCAGTGGGTAGCACGTTCGTCTCACAGCAAGATGGGTCGCTGGTTCGAGCCCCGGCTGGGTCAGTTGGCATTTCTGTGTGGAGTTTGCATGTTCTCCCCGTGGTTGTTCTCCGGGTGCTTCGGTTTCCTTCACAAGTCCAAACACATGTGAATTGGTTAAGTTAAATTGTCCCTACAGTATGTGTGTGAATGAGTGTGTGTGGATGTTTCCCAGTGATGGGGTGCAGCTGGAAGGGCATCCGCTGCATAAAACATATGCTGGATAAGTTGGCGGTTCATTCCACTGTGGTGACCCCGGATTAATAAAGGGACTAAGCCAAAAAGAAAATGAATGAATGAATGAATACGCAGCTGTATGCTGTATGTGCAGTTGTATTTAGATTTATTCAGCATTATAAAATAAACAAAGGTAATTTGAGCAAATGCAGTAAATTGTATTAATGCCAGGATATTGTTTCGATCATAGGAATATAATCATAGGAATATAAAAATGATAGAAATAGAAATGCATATGTATGTATTGATTTATGCATTCTTACAGTATGTTATTATATCATAATATTCCACTTTTATATATATATATATATAAGTGGTGTAATGGATCACAAATCACAGTTTAGATCACATTATGATTTTTTTAGTCACAGATTGGACAATTTTCTTTCCATTTATTACTAAAAAAGCACTGCAAGTCTCTTTTGGTTTTAACAAACATAGCTTTTAATTTAATTAAAAATAAAATAAAGAAATAATCTGCTGAATAAAAATAAATAGTAAAATATTCAGTACTGTGAGAAATTCACAGTCACTGCTACTGTTCCTGGTGAGACTAAAAGTATAAATCTAACATTATAATTTGTAAAACCCAGATTTATTCTTAGTCTTATTTTCAATAAATGCTTCAGCTATTCCCTCATAAAACTTCATGTTTCATTGCTAGATGATCATTTTTGAAGAATTATTCAGTGGCATATTTTTGATACATATTTCTGCCAATAACTTTCTTTTTTGAGCATTGTTAAATGCATATGATGGCAATTTCAATCTTTACTATAAACATGAGTGGTTTTATCTAAACTATAAACTAGAATCTGAATCTGAATCTCTTTGTTGATTTTCCATTTTTAAAACACAGATTTGAATGCTGTGATACAAAGGAATAATAAACATATGCAAATCACCACGACTTATTATTGTTGTTGCATGGGTGTTGGGATCCTAATCTTTTAATGATTAATAGTGCAGCTTACACTGAATGCATTAATGGAGACTAAACAAGTAGTGACAGAAAACACCTTTAATAACCTATGAAACCCACCACCCAATCTCTTAGTGATCATTACAAATTTAGTAAAGTAAAAAAAAAGAAATGTAATCATCAGCTGGTCATGTGGGTTCCGAACCGTCGGTTGTGATCCATGCGAATCAAGGATTAACCGTGATTCTTTACACCCCTAATAAACTGTATATACAGTTGAAGTGTAACCCAAATTATGTTTAACAGAGCAAGGAAATGTTCAAAGTATGTCTGATAATATTTTTTCTTCTGGAGAAAGTTTTTACTTTCAACTTATTTGTTTTATTTTGGCCAGAATAAAATTTTAAAAAATGTTTACATTTTTCAAAAACCATTTTAAGGACAAAAAGATTAGCCCCTTTAAGCAAATTATTTTTATTCAATATTCCACAGCATAAGCCATCGTTATACAATAACTTGCCTAATTACCCTAACCTGCCTAGTAAACTTAATTAACCTAGTTAAGCCTTTAAATGTCACTTTAAGCTGTAAAGAAGTGTCTTGAAAAATATCTAGTCAAATATTATTTACTGTCATCATGGCAAAGATAAAATAAATCAGTTATTAGAAATGAGTTATTAAAACTATTATATTTAAAAATGTGTTGAAAATCTTCTCTCCGTTAAACAGAAATTAGGGGAAAAAAATAAATAGGGGGGGCAAATAATTCTGACTTCAATTTTATATACACAAGGGTAATGACAAAAAAAATAAAAAATTGTAATTATATATTTTTTAATTTAAGTTAACTAAAGGATAAAAATAAACAACAATGTATTATATTTAGAAATAAAATAAATAAATTTATTAAAATGAAAATCAACTAATAACACATATAAATATGTTTAAAATAAAAAGAAATGACAAAAAATATATATTAAACAATTATAAACTTAAATAAACTTATAATTATGACTGAAAATATAAGGGAAAATATAAATACATTTAAAAAATGCAGTAGCATTTAATCTTGTCCCAAAATCAATCACAAATATATAAAAATAAAGAAATAATGAAATGCATATAATGTAAAGAAAAAAAAAGCAATGTATTTCTATGTGTACTGTTCATATTTACAGATCACTGTGCCTTTACCGTGTGATGAGAATAGCAACGTCATGGTGTGCCGGATGAGTGTCACTCTGAGGATTGAGGTTTTTTTGCCAAGTACAGAAGCTGGTGAGAGTGGTATCAGCATGGTGAATAATCTTCAGCCCTTTCTGAAAACACACATAACTCATTTAATTTCTATTGCATCCAGTAACCCTGCATAAAACACCAGCATATTTTGTTTAATGCATATATTCAGTCTCATTATCAAACATAACCTGCAGTCAACTATTAAACCATCACTAACCAGCATATATGATCAATCTGAACCACCTTGAAGCACACTGTAGAATAAAATGTTATACATAATGAGGTAAATAATGTAGGGTCTGAAAATATCCCTCTGTAGTTGAAATCTACAGACACAGATTGATATAGTGTGACAACAGAAACACTAAGGTGCATTTTTAAAATGTTTTTGGAAAAACACTTCATGAAAAGCTAAAAATCTCAAAATTGACTGTGTTTCAGCCAGAAATGTCTTGCCTTAAAAGAGCACTTTTGCTTTATATTTTTAATTGGCTCATTATTACAGATTCTCTAGAGTTAAACAGTATCAGTTTTTACCACTTTTTTAACACTTTTATTGTTTCAGAAAAATGTGATACATACATACTGTATTAGTAACCAAATACCAATCAAAGAGCACCCACCCCATCCCGACAGAGCCATAAAAATATGTTTTCACATGCAAGAAAAAATAATACACAGATAAATAAATGGAAAATAAAAAAATAACTAAAATAAGATAAAACAACAATAAATAAATAAATAAATAAGGGAAATTTTGTTAAAAAAAATAATAATAATAAAAATACTATTAAGACATTGACATTTTAACACATACATTCCAATGAAAGTGAAAAATATATTTAAGTTAGTGGTTACAAACACAGTGCACATTAACAGTTGCATGTTTGGCATGACTAAACAGTGAGTCCATTCTAATTTAAAAAATGAAGGAAGAAATCCCAAATCTTTTAAAATATGTGCAAGTTTTTACCATTTTTTAATCCATTCAGCTAATCTTTGGGTCTGGAAGGAGAACTTTTAGCTTAGCTTAGCATAGATCAATAAATCAGACTAATGTCAAAGTCAGTTTTATTTATATAGCACTATTAAACACAACCAAAGGTTTACCAATGTGCTAAACAATATAAATCACAAAGAACAAGTATAACATTATAGCTAAAACAAACAATTCTCACTAATAAAATGACAAATCAAAAAGGTAAAATTTCAACCTAGATTTAAAAACAGACAGAGATGATCTAGAGCTAATACAGAGAGGCAGAGCATTCCACAAGGTAGGACCAGCTACTGCGAAAGCCCGGTCACCCCTGCATTTCAGCCTCGACTTTGGGATGTATAATAGCCTCTGGTTAGATGACCGAAGAGACTGACCAGGCTGATGTTCAGTCAACAGGTCTGACAGGTAGGAAGGAGCCAGGCCATTTAGTCATTTAAAAACCAGGAGAAGAAAGAGTAACAGGATAGTGCACAGGCAACCAGTGCAAAGAGCGTAAGACTGGTGTGATGTGGTCATATTTTTTGGTACTGGTTAAAAGCCTTGCAGCAGCATTTTAAACTAATAGGCGGGATAGAGTTGTCTGACTGATCCCAAAATATAGTGTATTACAATAGTCCAATCTAGAAGTAATGAAGGCATGAATTATTATCGAAATTTTTTCTAGATAAAATAGGTTTGACTGTTTTTAAAAGTTGAAGCTGAAAAAAGCAGGATTTGAGCACTGCGTTAATCTACTCATCAAATCTCTTTTTTTACCAAAGGCTTTACAGAAAAACTTGAATTACCAAGATTTACTGGTGGTGTCCTAGAAGAATTTGACGAGCCGAACAAAATTATTTCAGTTTTACTCTCATTAAAATCTAAAAAGTTTAAAGACAACCAGGCTTTCACATCCGACAGGCAAGACATAAGAGCCTCCAACCCACTTAATAATAATAATAATAATAATTCCTTACATTTATATAGCGCTTTTCTGGGCACTCAAAGCGCTTTACACAGTGGGGGGAATCTCCTCATCTACCACCAGTGTGCAGCATCCATCTGGATGACGCGACGGCAGCCATTTTGTGCCAGACCGCACACCACACACCAGCTGATTGGTGGAGAGGAGACAGTGATGCAGCCAATTGAATATGGGGATGGTTAGGAGGCCATGATGGACAAAGGCCAGTGGGCAGATTTGGCCAGGATGCCGGGGTTAAACCCCTACTCTTTTCGAAGGACATCCAGGGATTTTTAACGACCACAGAGAGTCAGGACCTCAGTTTAACGTCTCATCCGAAAGACGGCGCTCATTGAGCAGTATAGCGTCCCCGTCACTATACTGGGGCATTAGGACCCACACAGACCGCAGGTTGGGCGCCCCCTGCTGGCCTCACTAACACCACTTCCGGCAGCAACCAAGCTTTCCCATGTGGTCTCCCATCCAGGTACTGACCGGGCGCAGCCCTGCTTAGCTTCAGTGGGCGACCATGTGAGAGTTGCAGAGAGCTAGCTGCCGGCACTTGAACACTTGATTAGACTATTAGCATCAAAAATATAAAAAAATAAACTATTCTGTAATTACATTATATACTAATGACCATGTGTACCAGCGGAAAATGGAAAGTTGCTATTTTCTATGCGGACATATTCGCTCTCATTCCAGTGTAATAATCAAGGAATTTTGCTGTAATACTATGGCTACAGCAGCCGCAATGATATTTAGCAGCACCTGAAAATGATCCCAAGCTAGGTCACAGCACTGCGTAAAATCATTGTGCTTGTCTCAATGATTCAAGGATTGATGCTAAGCTAAGTTAAAATGTTCCTGCTAAACCGAGATCGGCTGAATGGATTCAAAAATGGTAAAACTCAGATGTCCGTGTCAGCCTGTTTAAAAAAAAAAAGTAGACTGCTCCTTTAAGCCTCGATTTACATGTACCTCCTCTCCATGAAGCAGAATGAGTCGCACCAGTACTATATGAATAGCATTACCGATGCTGGCGTCATGAAAAATTCCAGCCACCTACAAAAGGTGATACAAAATCAAAGTCAGAGATACAGTTGAAGACAACATTATTAGCCCTCTTATTATTAGTGAAATCTGTATTCTTTTTTTTAAACAGTTTCCAATTAGTCACCTGCCTTAGGGTGCGTTTCCCAAACAATGACGTAACTCGAGGCTGAACTATCATCGTACGATGCATCGTTTGGGAAAAAGAATGATGTATTGACGCGTGTTTCCCAAAACCGTAGTTTCTCTGTTGCAGAACCATCGCTTGAACTACATTAGTTATAACTGTAAAATATAATGACGCTCTAAATGAGGTGGAGTAACTACTTCTTTAGAAAATAACCCAGAATTTCTTTGTGCAAATTATATTGTTTTACACGCGCACACATTTAAATTAAAATACAATATTATTTTTGGTAAAAACATCCGCTCGCTTTCCATATTAATTGAAATATGTAAACGGCACATATAGGCCTTGTGTTTTTCCTTTACAAATACTATTAAGAACATTCCATAGTCTATTCTAAATTAACATAAAATCACTTACAAAAGCTAAGCTTATATCATATATAAATCATATAAATAAATATATAATGAGGCAATTTATTAAGAAATGAAATTTAACATTTATTATTTTTTAGCAAATGAAAGAAATCCTACTTTAATATTAATAATACTAATGATGATGATTGTTATTATTAAGTAGGATATTGTTTATTTATTTATTAAATTTTTTTAAAGTCTACTTTTATAATTTGACACATGCAAACCACTGCAGAAATTTTCTAACCAGCAGGCACATGTCATATACAGTACAGATACCTAATAAATAACCTATAAATTAAAAGCATTAACGTATGCTATGTTTTTTGTTTTCACAAGATTTGGAGACATAACATAAATTCCGCTTTTAAATAATAGGTCACCTATAGCTTTCGCCATGAGCCATGGTTGTGTTCAAAATGGCATCAATGTTTTCAAAGTGCACTGCGAAGGGAGCGCAACTGTAAACATGAAGATTGCTAAAACTGAACTGTAAAAATACTTTAAAAGCAAATTACACCTTAGAGAGATGACCTTAATGTTTTTTTTTTAAATCATTCCAAGTTTAAATGTTAGAATGTGCCAAATAAATAGGGCATAGGGGGGAAAACTGGAAAAAGAACACAACCAGGAACTATGTTTCTAGCTACAGCTCCAAAGATGTAGTTGCAAATGCACAAGTTTGCGATGCAATATGCGAATGTTCGTTGGAACGATGGATTTGAAACGGCAAATCAACGAACAATGTTTGTAATGACACAAATTGCGTTCTTAGTAAGCTAACAATGGTTTTCAGAAACGCACCCCTGGACAGCTTGAATGTATCACCCAGAAACAAAAGACACAGTTGCTGGGTCCTTGCCTTTAGCATTTGCATCACTTTGTTAAAGTGATTTTTGCATAATAGGTCCACTTTAAAGGGGCTAATAATATTGACCTAAGCAGTTTTTACATTATTTTTTCAGCCAAACTAAAAAACAACAACATTTGACTTTGCCCAGAAGAAAACTATAATGGAAATACTGTGAAAAATAACACCTTTGCACTGTCATGGGGCTTTCACACCAGACGCGGCATGGGTGAATAAATTGCGTAAACATTTTGAGTTTACCTGCTTCATTCAAACGTCAAATTTGCTTCATTTGTGTGTGAAATTCACATCATAGACAAGGCTTCTGCATGCCCGGTGAATCTAGTTTCGTTGCTAAATGGCTAACAATTATTTTATTGAGTAGCTGTGCTTTATGTGCTTTAGGGAGTCCACCAGATCCTTTCAGAGGTGCACCCAGCTCTGTGAGTTCATCAACTCCTCCAGAAACTAAACCTGGATGAAGGAAGCTTTCAGCAGTGCTTCCGACTGAGCCGAGGTCAGTTTGATTAACTGTGGTCCGATGTCGGCTGTAGGATGTTCCCTCGGGACACCAGCTGCATGCTCTATGTCATAATCACGCCACTACAAGAGCAAGCTAACTGAGCAAAGTTAACTGGGCGAAAATGTCAGCTAGAGTTCAGATTTTCAAACTTGAGAGAATCGCATGACTAGCGTGCTAAACGCCTCAAATGAGCAAAACGCTCAATTCGTGTGAATTGCGTCATATTCTCAGCCTCATTTGCGCGAATAGCGCCACAGGATGTCTATTTGGGTCTTTGCATTGACTCTACATGTAAATCACTCGTCCTTGACGCTTCATCCGCATCTGCTGTGAACGCACAATTAATCATCGATTGAGAGAGAACGATTTAAAATTAAGAAGAGTTACAAATTTACAGCAGCTAATCGATTTTGGGCTAATTTTAGACTAAATTAGGGCTAATCATTTTGACACAATGAAAGTTCACTTTCCATGTTCATGATGGTAAAGATGTAGGACTCAACGCTCCCACTTCCATGGTAGTCCACGAGTTTGGAGTCGCCCACCACCATGGTCTCCACCCAGCGCTCTCTGCTGATGGAGCGGGGGGAGATCCTCCGGGGCCGCTCCGGATCTGGACGGTGATTCCGGTCCACACTCTCTCGCTCCCAGAGCTCCCGATCCTGCTCCACCTGTTGGAAATATCCGGAACTATCTGCACAAACACACACACACTTTTTGCTCATGCTCCACAGTGGTGATTATTTTATTATGTAGTACCTACTTGAGAGTTCAGACACTGTCATAATTCATTCATTTTCCTTCAGCTTAGTCTCTTTATTCATCAAGGGTCACCACAGCGGAATGAACCGCCAACTTATCCAGGATATGTTTTACACAGCGGATGTCCTTTCAGCTGCAACCAAGTACTGGGAAACATCTATACACACTCATTAACACAAATACACAACGGCCAATTTAGTTTATTCAATTCACCTACAGTATAGCCAACCCAGGCTCATTGTGGAAACGTAGACCACGGAATATGTCCCGGCGGGTACGTACGGCTGCAGTTTTAGTTTTCGCGAATCCGCGAGAGGCCGCTGTTGTGTGCTTTTTCGCATCTCAGACGCCTCTCGCGAGTGCGGTTCGCGCCCGCGCTGTTCTCCCGCCGGAGGCCGCTGTCCGACTGACCGGATGATTGACTGCACGACCGGCCAATCGGGCGACCCGCCCTCCTCCTTCCCCGAACCCAACCAATCTTACCGATCGACCCGCCCGCCCGCTCGCTTCCCTAAACCCGAGCAACAGATTACTAAAGCCCCGATTTTTTTTTTCTACCGCGCTTTCGGATTTCACCGCGTTCTCAGCCTGTCACGAAGTTCGTTCACTTAATGTTTGGGATTCTGTTTTTGTCTTACCTGATTGCTGGAACCGCTCTTCCCCGGACTCGAAACCGGTCGCCGTGGTCGACTCCTCTCTGCATCTCGAGCCTGCCGACGTACACGATGAGCTGAGTGGACAAACGGGTTGCAGCGGGGAAGCCCTCCACAAGAAGGTAAGCGGTCGGCCGGCAAGCGCGAAAGGGAACGGCGTCACACCGCCCCGCAGCGTTCGCTTAAAAAAAATAAACGCGGCCGTACGTACGTACTTCAGAAATGTCCGCGGGACTACGTTTTCAGAATGAGCTTGGGTTGAGTATAGCGCTTGTCTTTGTACTGTGGAAGAGCACCTGGAGGAAACCTACGCCTACACACAGCCATTATCATAAATATATTTGCTGTTGGTCTGACCTTTGACCCCACAGGGACTCTGTTGGTGTGCGTCTATGCTGCGTCTCTGTCTGAATCTGCTCCAGGTTGAGCTCTGGTAGAGAACATGCGGGTGTTGTGGATGAGTGAGGTTTGGGCTGCGTCCACGGACCGGCTCGATCAATAATGGCCCCTCTGGTAAATTTAACAGCCCTCTCTAGGAGAACAAAAATAGTCTGGCATAAGAATAATGACACATTTATTCATCAAGGACGCATGAGACTGATTCCAGTGACGATTCAGGGTCAGACTAGTCTTCGCTGAGGCCAGCTTCCAGCCTCCACTGCAGCTCTGCAAAAGACTTTTGGCCAGCGGAGAAATTAAAATGGTCGTGCCGAACTGAATCTGGTTCTCTCAAGGTTTTTTTTCTTCACTCTCCTATTGGTGAAGTTTTTTTTCCCTCTCCGCTGTCGCCACTGGCTTGCATAGTTCAGGATCTGAAAAGCTACTTATCGATGAATTTGCTCTTCAGTGTTTGGACTCTCAGTAATGACATCAAACCACACTGAACTGAGCTAAACTGAACTGAACTTAAAAACTAAACTGAGCTAAACTGAACTGAACTTAAAAGCTAAACTGAACTGAACCTAAAAACTGAACTACCCAGATCCAGTTACTATGACCATTTATGTGAAGCTGCTTTGACACAATCTACATTGTAAAAGCGCTATACAAATAAAGCTGAATTGATTTGAATTGAATAATGAAAAGTGCAGCTAAAGGATTTACAATGTAATGTAAACAATTTTTGTATATTATTATTTTTACACTGTATTTTTTATATTATTATTATCCTTTATTTATTTATTCTCTTTTCAGCTTAGTCCTTTTATTAATTCAGGGTCACCACAGCGGAATGAACCGTCAACTTATCCAGCATATGTTTTACGCAGTGGATGCCCTTCCAACTGAAACCCATCACTGGGAAACATCCACACACACTTAGGCCGCATTTACACTGCACTGTTCAAGTGATTCAATTCAGATTTTTTCTCCCATGAGGCACAGATCTCATGGCCCATGTATGTGTAAGCAGGAACAAATCACATGGGTTCCCATTAACTCAAATCAGATTCAGGCCTTGTTCATATGTGGAAATTTATCCGATATGAATCGGATCTGTGTCAATGTGTCTGCAGTGTAAGCAGGTAGATCGGATTTTTACCTGTCCACGCGCGTCATTAAAACCATAGCGAATGCTGTCAAGTCTGACACTTTCACTTCAGAACAGACTTCAGCAGAGTCCCAAACCTTAAATCTCATCCACGATGACTTAAACAGCTTTTATATTTTTATATAGCACAGGTATTTAAGCATGATGACGAGAGTGAGAGAGCGCAATGTCCGCCACGTAACCAATAAACTAATATAAAACTAGTGCATAGCTACATCACGTGCATAAATCATGCCATGGACATTACATTAAGATGCCTAAAGGTTTAAAAAAGCCTATACATCAAAAGAAGATGGACAAATGAGAACCTAAACTAGAGTAAAACAGCTTGTCAAAAGCTGCGAACAGATTACATATAGCAATAGAGAAAAGAGCACTCTTTAATTATCAGCTGTTAGTCAGCGCCCACTCTTTTTTTCCTGGTCATTGCGCCTTTGCTGTGTGCTGTGAAAATGCAGATGAATGGATACGAGTCACTTTTAAAAGATGATGTGAGCAGGTCATCAAACCAATTGGATACAGTCACAAAATCGGAATTGACCATCAAGATCTGCATTGTAAATGCAGCCTTATTCACACACTATGTCTGTAAAGTGTCTACTTTTAAAGGTGCTGTATAAAAAATATATATTTATTAGCATTATTATTAAATGATTTCTGCATCAAAAAATACTGTTTTTATTCATCAAAGAAAGTAAGAAACAAATACATAACACTTTCTATAAAATAAAAAGCACTAACCAGCATTTAAAAAAAGATTTCTTAAAGATTATGTGACACTAAAGACTGAAGTAATGGTGCTGAAAATTCAGCTTTGACATCCTGTGAATACATTATATTTTAAAGATATATTCAACTATAAAACAATGTATTCATCAATTCATTTTCCTTCGGCTTAGTCCCTTTATTCCTCAGGGCGGAATGAATAAACTTATCTAGCATATGTTTTACACAGCGACAGGACCTTCCAGCTGCAACCCAGTACTGGGAAACATCCATACACACTCATTCACACACATACACAACGGCCAATTTAGGTTTTTTAGGTTTAGGTTTTTGCCGCTTTAAATGCTCAAGAACGTTAACCACTTAAACTCTGCTGCTATTTGGGGATTTCTGCCTGGATTTTGCCTACCCAAATTTAAAATCTTCCCAAATCCACATGCAGAGGTGTAAATGCAAAAATTTGGTATCATTTTAAAGGAAACTGTTTGAATTTCCATAAAACACTATTGAAAGTGTTTAAAATAACTGTATATGTCGTCTGTGTTATAATAAACACCTGAAAAAAGAGGCGCTTTTTGTATTTTTTTTATAAACTCAAATTTGAAAGTGTACCTTTTAGGTTCTGTGTGGTCTAGCGTGCTGTAATTAATTTTGGTGGTTCCTGCACTTGTCTGTAATCATAGGAAAAAAGAAAAAGGTCTCTACCATAATCTATGCAAAAGTTATTGCATTCCAACTGATGAGAGGTGCTATACAAGCCACAGAGACCAATCCTTGTTCACATATTTCACTATTCTTTTGTTTGATCAAACATAATTCACTGTGTTTGGGCCACATCAGACATATAAAAGGATTACTTATGCACATCACCTCAAAAACAGAGGAGAATGGCCCTGAAGCGCACAGCATAAGGTGAGAGATGACAGCTGTCTGTGCTATCTGGGGCTGCTTATTGATCATGAATGTATTGTTTACATTTCTGCGCCATGGAAACACGGCGATTCATTCGACAACTGTTTGGCATATGAATATAATTCAGTAAAAAGAATGCTAGCACCGTATTAGCACCGGCAAGAGCTTTTATTTGAGCTATAACTTGTACATGTGTCATATGATAAAATATAAAAATGAACCAATGTAAAATACCCAGCTCGGGAATCCAAAATACTGTGTATTTAAGTGTAAATAACTTTTATACAGTAGAATAAAAACCAAAGTGATGCATATGTGCATAAAATATAGATTCTACACTTTTAAACGACACCACTTACGGGGGTCTGGTGCAACGCTAGCCCTTTAAATCTGAAAGCGAAGTCGATGACGTCACAGAGTTTAAGTGGTTAACGTTATGGATTTTGATTGGTTAAGAGTGTTTTGCTATTCATATGCTAGTAGAAATGACAGAAATAAACGCTAATGGTGGGAGTCGAGCCAAGTGAAGAAAAGGACAATGCTTAATCAGAGTCAGGATATCTGCTGAGGTTTTTTCTCTTATTCATGGTGTTCTAAAGACTAACGGCTCTAATTTAATGATCTACATGTAAGCGCGAAGTCTGAAGAGCATGGCACAAAAGCATTAAGGGCGTGTCCGAATCCACTTTTGCTATTATAATGATGTAAAAAGACGCTGGTGCATGGTACGCTTCACTAACGAGAAAAAAGTTAGTTAAACAGAGTTAGACTGACTATCTGCAGCGCGAGGATAAAGAACGAGCCTCCTCCATTCAGCCTCTTTATTTTTTACTCTTTGGACAAATCTAAACTTGTACTTGTTAAAACAAATATAAATATGCATATAATAAACAATAATAATAATAATAATAACATACAAAAGCAAACTGTCATGAATAAACTGAAAAAAAGCCCCCTGACATGATGAAGACATGAAGGCAGTAGTTTTTATATTTACGTAGAAAAAAATAATTTTTGTAACATTTTACTCCTTTAATTGTTTTCATATGTAAAGATATTTGTGTATTGCTGTACATCCTGTGTGTATTAAGCAATGTGCAAGTGTGGACCCACATAGGCGCATAACTAACGTGCTATGCGCTGGACTTTAGAGCAGCTTTTAGTTGGTCAATGCCGCTGTCTATTTCAGCTATTTAAAATAGCAACGCGCAAACAATGCGCCTTAACACACCTCCTTTATAGACCAGCACACCAATGAGTCCACAAAGTGGTGCAAATAGATTTGCTATTTAAACAACGTGGCGCAAAACGTGAAAACAAATGATGCGTTGGTCTGGAAACAGCAACAAATCATGCCATACACGTCTTGCTCCGTATTGCGCCAGGAGTATGATACCCTTAATGTTGGTGTGTTCACACCAGACGCAGAAGAAGCGTCAATCGAGAGTGATTTACATGTTAAGTCAATGCAAATCCTCAAATAGACATCCTGCGGTGCGATACGCCCAAATCACCAATCAATCTCGTTAACCAATCAGGAGTTTGCTCTTGTGGGGGCGTGGTTGTGACGTAGTGCCTGTCCAGCCAACACTGACAACAATTCATCAAACTGGGCTCGGCTCAGTCAGAAGCACCGGAGAAAGCTTGTCATCCAGGGTGAGTTTCTAGAGGAGTTTATGAGCTCACAGAGCTGGATGCACCTCTGAAAGGATCTAGTGGACACTGCTCCGAATTGACAGTGTTAATGTGCTTTATGAAGGCTGAAAAACTGCTATTTTCTTAATAAAATCTATGTTAGCCATTTAGCAACGAAGCTAGAGTCACCAGACAGACAGAAGCCCTGCCCATCGCGCGGATCCGTGTCTGTTCTGAAATGAATTTGACACGCTAAGGAAGCGGATTTGATGCACAAATGAAGCGAGTAAACTCAAATGTTTACGTGGCTATTTATGCGTGAATAGCACGATTTATCCGCATCTGGTGTGAACACAGCATTAATGTTTGCACCTTGACACAGTTTTTTTTTTTTAATTAGAGATAATTAGATTTGAAAAAATATCAGGGCTTTTAAATATCAATACATTAATAAGAAATCTAAAACACATAAAAAAATAGACATTTTCTAGGGAAATCTTATATAGTATGAAATATCAACATCGCAATCCTCAACAACATTGCATATTTTTCCAGTATTGGAACTGGAAAAATCTATTAGTAGCCCTACTGTAGACTCCGCTTTACTTTTCTCATTTTAGCTATCGTTGGAGACATTAATATGTCTTTATCATCTTTTTATGTGATAGGGTCTTAAATCTGTTTTATCATCCGCCAGTTGAAAAATGCAA